CCCCCTCGTTCATTGATACCCCCAGTCCCGGGCCTGCGTGTAAATTATGCATAGCTAATGGGATCTCCCGTCACCAGGTGTCCCTCGCGCATTTCTGCGAGATCCATGGTCCTACGTCAATCATCTGCACTCAAGTGACCCCCCCGACATGCACGACGTGCTGTCCCTCTGCTGCAAGCTCAGGCACGATTGTCCCTTCTACGCCACAGCAGCAGCAGCAACAGCAGCAACAATTTGGCTCAGCACCCCCCCAATTCTCCCATAACAGCTCGATCCATCTCAATAAGAGTAACCCTGCCCTAAATACCCTGGCCTCCCCGAGCGCCTCGGGTCTCCGTCCAAACACATCTCTCCTTGGCCATGGTGGGACCGCTACCTCCTCAGCCTCATCATCTAATGTCTCCACCCCAATGGAGACACCACCTCCATCACCGAGGAGCCCTGTACTTTCTAGTGCCTCCCTTGCTACTGCAGGTCCAGGATATGCAGGTCCATCAGCGGCTTCCACGACAGGGGTCTCTGCCGGTGGTGATACCTGCAAGAACTGTAGTATGACCCTTCCAAAGGGCCTTCAGGAAAAGACATCCTCCAATGGCACTGTCACGCGGCCTACGCTGCGTACAAAGGAATCAATTCTTGCCTGCACCCCATCCGGCAGCGAAGACGAGGAAGAGCCGGCAGAAAGCCAATTCTCAAATCTCCGAGCTGTTCAACGCCAGAATGACGATGCTCGTCATCTTTCTTCGTCCCCTGGCGCGCATACCTACTTTCACTCTGCCCCTGCGTCTGATGACGGAGCACTTCAAGGGAGCTCCACAAACGGGCTGGCTACGCACACCCATCAATTGACATATATCTCTACACGAGCTCCAACTGTGCCTGCACATTACACTACCCTGCGGCAGGCATGCGTTCGCACGCTCTCTTGCGAGCTGATACCCGCCCAAACAGGTCCCATGATGTTCGGGGACCCTCTTGCAGGCTATACAATTGCCTATGTGTTTCGGCTTCCTGATCCCAAAGCTCGGGGAGGAAGACGCTCCTATGCACTGGTTTGCATATGCCCTGACCAGAAGATAGTCGTCAGCTCATGGAAGTACGTGGTTTCGGCTTTTGAAACCCTAGTGCACCGCATCAAGCAATTGGCAGCCAAAAAGCAACAAGAGGATGCACAGGTACCCCCGCTACTGAACAATTCGTTCTCTTCCGTCGCTTCTCGCGGGCCCGAAGGGTTCCTCCGCAGAAGACCGCCCGGTGAGAACGGATTCGGCGTCAACCAGAAGGGGCTAGCGGAGTTGGTCGGCAGAGAAGAGCTCTTTGTCGAGGTGCACATGTTCTTTGTCAAGATGATAGGAGGTCTCGTGAGAAGGTTTGGGTGCTGGGCCGGGAGTGAATTGGCTCTCGGTGGCAGCGGCGCGGGGTTGGGGAGTGGATTTGTGAGCCCAGCTCTAGCGAGAAGCAGAGCCGGAAGCGTGAGCAGCTCCGTGGGGGCAGACGAAAGGCTGGAAAGAAAAACGGGGCTCGGTGTGTCCACACCCGGTACTGCTACACCTAATGGTGCCACACTCAGCGTTCCGACAGTGTCGGAGGAAATGGAAGCTACCGATATTGGCACCCTGAGTAATGAGAATGGAGTTAAATACCCGGTTCCTCCTGCGCCTCCCGCTGGGGCTAGTCTGGCACAACCATCGGGAGTGCCTACCCTGGTGCCCGGAATGGCGGGGTTGAGCGTCAGTGACTCTGTTACTCCTGGAGCCGCAGGAGTAGCGACGGGAGCTTCAAACAGCTCGTCTCGTGGCGGGAAAGAGCGAGGGGAAAACCACTCAGAGTAACCGTAACGCGATACTCAGTCACTAATAATAAAGTGGGGTAATCCCGGCGCATCATCACCCTTTTTTTATTATTGTGGGGTACTCTAGAAAAAAGAAGGTTTGGGCGAGCTAATGGATAGGCTTGGTGAGGTTTCATTACTGTTTCGTTTGAGGTTGCTTTTTCTTCTTATTTCCTTTCTGTATTCGTTCGCGCGCCGTACTGTCCATTCGTTGCAGCGGTTATTTCTAATAGTTGTAGTTTTAATACTTTCTTTTTTGGTTACGGTTGTTGGGTGTTGGGTTGGTTGTTGGTGTAACGCGAGAGAGAGAGAGGGAGACCCGCAACGTCCCCCACTTAACCCCCCTGGTTTCTTTCTACGAACGCGTTTTACCACCGCGACCTTGGTTTTACATTGTACCCTTTTTCTCATGTTTTTCTTTGATTGAAAATTTGGTTATTTCTTTTTCGTTTATTTTTATAAATTTTTATAGAGAGGAATTACTACTGGGGCGCTCTCTGGTTTTTGGTTTTTTTTTTTTTACTATTTCTTTTGCGCTGCTTTTTCTTCTTTTCTTTTTAATGATGTGCAAGTCTCATGTCATGATCTTATGAACCCATGGGTCCCGAGTCCTTCATGTAACTAGGATCACTATTGTTTTTTTCCCTGCATTGATTTTTGCTTTCTACTACTCTACACCTGCGTCTCCCTTTTTTTTTGTTTTTTAATTATGCCAGCTTCACTTGTACTTTTCCTTCTACCTTCTACTTCTTACTACTTCTCGTTTTTGGCTTAGGGATTGGCTGGCTGGCGGGAGTGGGTGGGTAAAGGAAAAAAAAATGGGGTATATATCTATCAAAAAAGGAATTTCTATATCTGCTCTGCCATACTTGGACTAGTGGCAATTCTCAGAGTAAACTACTTTACGTATGTGATGCTTCTTTCTGGTGTTCGAGAAGCAGGAAGGACACCTACCTACCTAATCCTACATCTTACCTACATCCTACATCCTACATACTCGACTCTGCCTACATACACATACTGTAGCTTGAGATAGAGTATGTAGTCTCGTGATGTGATGTGTGATGCTCTCGTGCGCGCGGTACGGGTGAGTGTGTGTGGTGGGGAAATATTGTGGGGAATTATTGTTTTTTTTTCCCTCCCTCTCTCTGTTAAAAGAAAATCTATCATCACTCTTCGTTCTCTCTCCCGCCCCCGGCCCCAGTTTCAGAAGAGTTGCAGAATGGTGGATATTTGACGTCATTTGGAACACGGATATATCTCTGCCCAGGGGAAAAAAAAAAAAAAGATCTCAAATTTCAAATCTGTAGATAGCCAATATGTATTGTGACGTTCCCCTCCTCTTTGTGCCGCCGCCACCTCATTGCAATGTGAAGGAGCACGATTGGAGAAGCTAGCAAAAAGGGAGGAGGGGAGGAGGAGGAGGGGAGGAGGAGGAGGAGGAAGGGGGGGTTTGAAGCTGAAGAGAGAGAGACAGAAGCCAGCACAGAGCTCTCTAAGACAGAATAGAACTAGGTAGGTAGGTACTCGGGGCAGGCAATAAGAACCTGAAAATGCAAGATGCAAGCAGGGGCTCAATTTGGTGTAGCTTTTCGCCAGCCGCGAATCAGAGGTCGTTACCATAAAAAGTCATTTTCAGGTTCTTCTTGCCTGCCCCGAGTAGAGATCAATGCGTGTAGAGTAGCCCAGGGTGGCAGGGTTATAGAGAGGGGGGGGGGGTGAATTGAAAACTGGTGCGCGCACCACCACCCCAGAATCCGGGGTTGTGCTAGCTGTAGCCTGTGCCCCCCTTATCGCGAATTGCGATAGACGAGTGCTTATCCATGACCAGGAACCACCCCACTCGACACACGGGCCACCACACCTCTCCCTCCCCCAGAAACCCCCCGCGACCCCACACAAAAAGAAGGAGAAGAAGCCTTGCGCGCTGAACTAGAACTGGTGCCCTTGAAAGTCCATGGCCATGGTAACAGACTGGGACATACATATTTGCATCCACTCTGGGAGGGCATTAACGCCGATAGAGTTTCGGGGGTGCGGGACCGAGTGTGTGGACGGGGGGTATAACTTTTGATATTGGATACGAGTACGTAAGAAGTATGTAGGAATCTGGGACATACAGTACTTTTTTGTGGGGGGTTAGTACCACTATGGAGAGTCTACCGTACCGGAGGTACTCCAACTAACTGATGAGGGGCTGTTGCCTACTGCTGCTGCAGCAGGAGAAGGAGGGGGATCTAGTTAGTTAGCTGGGGGTGCGGGGACTTTCCTTTCCCCTTTTTTTTTTTTTTTTTTTTACTTTTGGTCGGCTTTGATGGGATGATGGGTTGTTGGGTTTTGGGTTTGTTGTTCTTTTACCGTGTTGGGATGTGGAGGGGGAGGGGGAAGTATGATAATAACTCACTTTATTTAGTGGGCTATGCTGGTGTTGAATCGCGCAAAGGTCGGATGATCCTACTACGAGTCTGTCTGCACTCCTCATACTCCTTTGAAGTTTTTCGGCAATTAACTTTTTAAAGATTATGCCCTGATATCCAGATGAATCGGCATTAGCCTAGGGGGTGAAGGATAAAAGGACAAGAAAGAAAAAAAAAAACTTGTTTTCACGAGCGAGATGAGTCGGCCCGTCTCTCGGTGTGGTGCGGTGATGATGATGATGATGATGATTTGGCTAAGAAAATAAGCTGCCTGCCCGCGGTGATGTGGCCGTGCGCAACGACGTGTGTAACGTTCTACTGCGGGCCTTAGAGGGAGAGGGTTATTCCGGATTATTCCCTTGGGTGAGTCCCAAGACCCATAGAGTAGAGATTCATAGTATACCCGTAACTTCCTGACGTTTGTGGACGCGACTAATATTGCATACCACACAAAAATACGCCAAGCTCATGATTTTTGGTGTATGCAACAGTGACCCAGTTCAAAAACGTCAGGAAAATACGAGTATTGATCTTTGATTTGATACCCCGCCTTTTCTGCTCCGTGGAGCAAAATCTACGTGCAGCGCGGGGTACATCACACAGCTCACGATATGTAGCTATCCTAACTGCTGCGTTGAGGATACGTACTCTACATCTTACTACTGATTCCCCAATGGGTAGTAAGTAGTTGAGGAAAAGTCGGACAGTCGACTTCTCCTTCTTCGGCTGCTCTTCGGCTTTTTTTTAAATCCATGGTTGTTGTTGATGGATGGAAGAGGAAGAGTGGATGGAGCCGGTTCATCGTTCCAGCACTCTTCCCCGCCTGCCTACTGCAGACAGACACACCCATATCTGTTGTGCTGGCCGTCGGTGGTCGGTCACGTTTCGATAGCAACGGCCCTGCCTGCGTCTCGCGTCTGGCTGGCCATGTTGCCAAGCATCGAGGACTGGTTCCTGCACATGATCTCCAATCAGATGGTCAGCATTTAAATGTCCGTGCAGACCATGCTTGTTTTTGGCTGCTGATGGCTGATGTGGATGATGGGTACAAGGCCTGGGTAGAATACATGCGAGTACTCCACACACAAGTACCTACCTCGCTGAAGCAGCTGACAGCGCGCACTTTTTACACGTAGTTTTTGATGTGGTCTGGCGCCTAACCCCCATAAGCCCGTAACCCATCACCGCTGCCTACCATCGGGTCAGCAAGCCTCACCTCACCTCACGGAGAGGGTAATAAGATGCGAAATGTACGTGATCGAGTGATCGTTGATGAATAAAATCGGACGACAACTGTATAGTGATAGGTATTTCCATATGTACCTGAGTAGTTCAACAACAACCTAGTACGCACGTCCTATCTGGCCCAACAAACAGCCCACGCCTACCTAAAAACTACAATAGCAACACCCTGAGGACAACCGTTTATGTATCATCGCCAGTACAGTGCATTAGTCATATTTGAAAGTTTGACCCTTGAGCCGGTATGTATATCTCATCGTGGTTGCGTAAACAAGTAGCAGAAAATACAAACATAGCTGATCGATCCAAACAACCCCCATTCACCTTATCTTCGCATTTAAAAACTCTACCATCGATCCATTTTCGTGTCCTCGGTAGCCTCGGTGTTTATGCGACCGGGATTAATTATGAAAGACAGCGTTGTTGCCACGGGGAAAAAAAACCGAAACAAGCAACGATGCGGCTATCCCGAATATCAATTTGGCCGGGCCCTATTCAGATCGGTCGATGAGGAAAAAAAAAAGTCTCGGCACCACTCCTTCTTCTCGCTCCTTCCATCTTTGCCCTATACAGGGGTTTTTGACAAATCCGAAGCGATTGGGGAAAAAAATTAGTCGAGGCAGGAGACTATCGAGTGAGATCGTGTGATCCAGTTGGTTTTTGATATTGCGGGTTTCCCGCAGTGCAGTGCAGACAAGGCTTACTCTACAAGCTTAGAAGTAACAGGGTGGTGGCGGCGGCGGCAATTTACCCCTTTCTCTATTTCCATCCCTCTGCCTCTCTTCTCCATCTTTTGACATGGATTCTCTAAATCGAAAATGAACGTTTGCCACTAGCTACCGGCCCGTGGATACTCTTGATAGGGGTCCCAAATAAAGGGAAATTAAAATCCAAGGAGGCGCCCGCCGGTCAGCCATATTTTAAAAACAACATACGCAACGATCGTGGCTTTCATTCCCACCGCCTTGCTGTGTGCTGTTTGTTGTTTCTCAACCCAACCAGCTAGCTAGCTCGCCAGCCGCTTCTCCGCACTCTCTTTTTGACCTCATGATGCCAAATAGTCGATCGTCGGTGTTCCTATCCGGTCGACCACTGTGAAAAGAAAATTCACTCCTTTTTGATCGCCTCAACACAAAACACCTCAGAGGAATCCAGACCGGTGGCGGACAGGAATAAGCAGGGGGGCCAGGATCGAGACCGGGGTTTCGCTTAAGAAAAGTGTTGAAAGATAGAAAATAAGGGTTTTGGTTAAGACAGTTGCTCGAGCAGTGCTTGTTAGCAATTGTATATTGAGATGGATTGAGATAGGGCGTTGTTGGCTGATTGGTTGAATGCCGACGTTTAAGTGTCGTCATTTCTAGTAGTTCTCTAAATGAGGATGAAAGGGAGCGAACAAGAGGGAGGATAGATCCCGATTGGATGCGTAATATAAACTTCCGTGGAAGATATTTTTGGGACACATGTCCTACTCCACGTGTCCTCCACAGTGTTCGTGGCTTTCTCAGTAGGCCAATTGCTTGTAAACGGGAGCTGGGGCTTTCTCTGAACTGACAATCTTTAGTTAGTGATCAATGATAACTTCAGCTTTTCCTGAGCCCTAGACTTCGATGCTGAGTCTAGATATCAACAGTGTGCAGTTTTCAATGTCAATTTGTGCATGATAAAAAAAGCATTTTGTAAATCGACGTCATGGCATCAATTTCTCGTAGTAAGTAAGGTGGTAGTAGTTCTACCACGCAGGATAGTCATTCAATCTCGAGTGATGGATTAAGGAAAGGCTTAAAATATATAATTATCTCGGAGGAAAAATGGTGATTCGCCTCTTATTCCGCTTTAATGACCAAGAGGAAGGCGTTTTGTGAAACCTTTCTTACACGGAGACGAATTAATTTTGATTCCGATAGAAGTTTAGCGTCTCTTATAGTTCGGTATATATGTTTTGTTGTATGTAGTCGTTGGCAGTTAATCATGTAAAATCACTCGAGCCGGTTTACAGGCTCGAATTCCCGCTCTATTCGGATATTTCATAGTGAATAGGGTCCAGTTCCAATCTGAAAACACTCGAATCGACCTAGCTATAAAAACGGACCTTCTGAGCAATACTGTTCCGTTTCGTTAAACTTTCCATTCTCTCGAACCAGACAGATGTTGGGTCTGAATACTAAACTCGGCGTTCCGAATCCATCCAAAACCGGATTTTTTTTTTCGAGAAAAGTGGCTCAGAACCACCAGGAATCTTTGTTAAAGAAGTAATGAAGTTACTGATTAATTTTATGGAATGTATTTTTTGTGGAGGAAAGGCCTTGCTCTATCAGCATACCCACACATAAAGTAGAAGCAAGAAGCTCTGCATGGTAAGATGAATCCATGAATGAATGAGCCCTGATAGATAAGTAGGATGTCCAGTAATCTTGAACCATGGGTTGATTTGGTCGTTCGACCAGAATAATGGCAATTTTCCGTGTACTAATAATTGAGAAATTGGCCATTAAATCTGGAGCACTTCTGACACATATAACTGCCTGTCACTGTGGTAACTCTTTCATCATAATCTGAATTTGACGGTAATAATGTCCCCAGTACGACTAGAGGCGCCAGAGTGAAGGAATGTTTGTAACTAAGAGCCCGTAGTACATGTGGAGCTAGGGCCTACTATGTAGCCATTGTTTAACAGGAAGCCTTAAAACAAGCTTGGAGATCGATTTGTCCTTTGATTCCGGAAAGGTAAAAACAACAGCTTAACCGCTTGTGAATTGGATAACCCTTTGTTGAATATTAAACTATGTCTTGAATAGCTTTAGCATTATGATGGCGTTTATTACTGGGGGTATTTTATTTTATTGGAGGTTCCATTGGCAGGCTTCCAGTTGACCCGCCTCAAAGGGTTGGGATAATGTGATCTAATGTGGCCCATGGGCATAGCCGGCTCGAATTTTAGACTTTTGGACTCTGATATCTGTAAATCCTGGATATAGATTTTCTTTATGTATTCTAGTGTAATTTAGGGCGACTGGAGGGTCGACATATTGGCGTAAATTTGACCATGAGGTTTGTAGTGGGATTTTTAAGATTTAAGCCATGGATTAAACAACGCAGTCTTATCCTCTGCTATATCAATCAGTATATATTCTTAGAGTTTTAAGTAAAACTCCTTTTATAGCGGTGATCGAGGAATTCTCGGCAGCGGGGCGAGCCGCGGGGGCCGACTTTCCATGGGGATAGCTGCTCTAGTTAGATGCTTCTGCTATTTTCGCAGGCTTACAGCTGTTTTTCCACTGTGTTTTGGCCTTATTTGTATTATAGGCCCCAGGTTAATGTATAGAATCCCTTGTGGTGATAATCAAGTACAATCAACGGAGGGCATCGTTTCCAATCACCGATAATCCGACCATGCACTCTCTGCGGCCAAGATGCAGTGGGCCCCTAACGAGAAACAGGAACCTCGAGGTAGACTGCCTTATTGAGTGAACTACAGTACAACCACCTGAGCCTTCCCAAATTGGAGGGTGGACAAAAGTTAAGTAGTGCAAGTCACCATTGGTGATGGGCCTTGTATTCCAGTCAGAAAGCTTGCGAGCGAAAGTTATTAGTCTTACCACTTGTCCCATCTCAAAGACGAGTTGTGTATATCTGATCAGGAATCGGAGGTCCCGATGGGAAAAGTAGAAAATGGATGAGAACATGGGAAATGGAGATGTAGAAGAAAGAAGATTGGGAATAACGTTGGTGGTCGATGACGTCGAGCGGAATGTTGTGGTGAGTTCAGTGTGGATATCTTGGCACTTTGGGCTGGGTAACAGAATTGGTGTGATTAACGTACATGTATGCATATACGTCGGAGGACCTGCACAAGTGTGGTGGACAGCGCCTAGGCCTACGTATACCGACACGCAGAGAGACTGGATGAGAAGCCATTTACAGCGGACTACTAGCGAGAATATAAAGTCTGTCCCTTTTGGTACATGTGTGGACAAGAAAGATTGGTGTCCTACCTACATACGTACCAAATTGCAGCGGACAGACTTTATATTCTCGTTAGCAGCTGGCCAGATCTTTATCTTTGCCTTGACTGTGGCTGGTGTCGTGCCCTTCGTCACAGACCATACGCCTATCAGTCTCGCATTGGACGCTTGTTAGCCACTTGCGGATTGACCACAAACGGGGTGTCGCTATAGAACCGGCGGTATATAGCGTGATGGGAACGGAGGGTGCTACTCATGACTTGAGCAGCGGCTGGCACCGTCCAAACGGAAGCTAGAGCCAGAGCGTACCGACCCCCCCCCCCACCACAAGCACCGCAGTACGTGGGCCCCTAAGGAGAGAGATGAAGGCGCCAAGTTTACTGTGTTGGGGAAAGTTTCGCCCAGCCCCATTAGTTTAGGGAGAGTCCAGCCCACGCTGAAGTGGGGCGATAATCACCAGATATCACTCGATTTTGTCACACCGCAAGATCTGACACATCTCGGAGCGTTTAGATCACAAACGTACCTAGAAATCCCAGCAGAATCTACCACAATGGCGGGGGAAGTCAGGAATTGGTTTGCCATATGGATTAGATTGGATTATTCGCGCCAAGCGCCCCAGAGCGCCGATTATAAAACTGTTTCTACAAACAGGTATATAGAGTCAGGTTGGAGTTCGGCTTACTCGGGTAGTTTTTGGTTTTGTGCCCGGGGTTTTTTTTTTAAAATATCTGGGCACTCTGGCTACATTTCGAGCGGCGCTCAATAGACTGACTATGATATATACATGTATCTTCAGACTTTAGGTTTTAGCCCAAACCAGCTGCGAAATAAAATCTACTATCAACACTACTTGGGCTGTATCAAACGCTGGAGTTGGATGATATCTGCTGTCTCGGAGATTGGGTTTTTGAAGCACGTGGGCTTTCGAATTGTGGCATAAATCCTCGGTACCCGAGTGATAGTTTGTGGTGCTAACTTAATTTCTTTACAATACTACATAATAGACTGTAGTAAAGATACACATGAAGGAGCGAAAAAAAAAAAAAAAAATTGAATACTAGCAATAGAGAATCTCTCTATTGCGCCACAATATTGAGTTTTGCTTTCGAACTCGCAGAACGCTGGGGCTGAGTTTCATGCGGTATTAGACAACAGTATTTTTTGCGGAAGGATCCCGATCTGGTCGAGAATGTTATAGTCGTGTGGATTTAGATCCTTCACCTGGAATCCGCTATCAAAATGTCGGATCCTAATGGTTGGAGTGTAAAGTGTGAAACACAAGTTTCAACAAACCAAACATCGCAATTCCAGACACCCACAACTCCACACCCCGCCCACCGCGCCTATTCCTACAACACAACAGGAGGCCCTCCTACCATATTCCTTCTCTACCGTAGAGACCCATCCCCCCATTTCCATCCGGAACATTTTTCCGGTTCGGCTAATCTTTGACCTAATCAAGAAACAACCTAGACTCACGATACTAGCCCGTCCGCCAAGAAGCGGTAGAAACAAATTTTCTTCCTGCTCAAAGAGTTGACAAGGGGATGTGGTTTAGTGGTATAATGCCTCTTTAGCATTGGAGCGTCTCATTATCGTGAGACAGTCTACTAGCTAAGGTAGAGGCGGTCCGGGGTTCGATTCCCCGCGTCTCCAGTCTTTTTGCTCGTTGGGGGGTTTTTGATGGAGGTGCTGTGTGGGGTTTTCGGTGTGGTATGTTATTGTCGTTTTGGGTTCTTGGGTCGAGAGGGTAGAGTCGATTTCGGCTGTGTGGTGGTTCTCGTTTTGATGTCTCATTCGCTAGGAACCTGATGTATCAAAAGTTGTGAACTTCGAGATGTTTCGCTTCATCGGTCGCCCTAGACGACACGACACGGGATAACCCTGTCTAGCGGTTCTTATTTACATCGTGAAACTGCTAAAGCACGCTCTGGTGGCCAAGTTGGTAAGGCGCAGCACTAGTAATGCTGAGATCCTCGGTTCAACTCCGAGTCAGAGCAGTTATCTGTTGGGTTGGGTTGGTTGGTGATGCCTTCTCGATTCTTTTTTTTTGATGTTGATATTGGGTAATAAGTTGGCGTTGTTAGTGGAATTGAGTATGAGGCGATGTTTTGGTTGTTAGCGTTGGAGGTGATGGAATGGTTTATTTAGATGGTGGAGGTTGAGAGAGGTGTCTCATGGTGTAGCACTCGGTAGGCTTGTTGGCGGCCTGGGACAGTGAGTGGTAGATGCTTTGCAATTTTTGCTATCTGTTATTTGTATGTACTGTGCCAACCAGACGTTTGGTTGTCTTGATATCAATACGTGTTTAATCCGCACGTCTCTGTTCACTATAAAAGGAGCCTGTTCTTTCTGTTCTCGTTGATAATCGGTTCAGTCATACCATGCGATTCTCTTCAGTCTCTTATAAAACAGCGTCCTGAACAGTACTTGTAACTTGGAGCGAGCAGAAAGCTCACTCACAGCTTTAAGTTGGCTGGAGATGGCTTACAATACCTGTAGCTATATGCCCGATGTTCTGCTTAATTCTTGCGTGCGCCGGAGCCCTCTGATTGGTCGAGAGCGGGAACCCTGACCCTGCATAGCAACCAGCCCACCTAGAGTACTTGTGCCGAAAAGTATGATGCCTACATTGTAATTAATGCCACTCCCCACATGAGCGGCATACCTAATATAATGCCACCGCCAAGTTTGAGCTGTGTGTCGGGTTCGTGGAGGTCTTCTTTCCTTTCACTGCGCAGACCGAATAAACCTTTGAAATATACTGGCCGGTGGCATTGAGATATCATCAACGGGGCAATCAAAAGCTATTTATTAACGGGGGATACGTATATACGGCGCCCGGAGGTATATCATAAGATTGTATTAACGGGGGTGGTACTGAGAGATACCTTAGGAGGTCAACGGGGTACCAACGGTGTATGGGGGAACCATCAACTGGGAACGGGTTCAAGAGGTCCCTTCACTGGCGGGGGAGGGCAATCGAGATGGAAGGCCCCACGAAAGGCAGAATTAATTGGAGCAAAAGGAACTCACGCTCGCGAGGTCGGCCACTGCTAGTAAGTATGTGCATGTACCTACATACATGTAGTTCGACCTAGCCCATTAGAACTGCAAGAATCACAGACAGAGCCCAGCCACCAAGAACTCCCTTTAACCTACATGTATGTGCATGTATGTGCATGATGTATTTCCTAACCAACCCCGCTGCTGCACACGCTCTCACTCGCCGCTCCAAATCCGCACTAGCTCCAACCACGGCACCTGCCGTGCTATTTTTCTCTTGGCGGCACAACCTCCCATACCCAAACATTCTCACTTTTTTCCACACCTCCGAGCAGGCCAATCCAACCCCCAATTCGATCCAATCCAATCCAATCCAATTCCGGTACAACACTACTAAAAAATGGCGAAAACAGAAGCCGGCAAGAAAAAGACCTCAGCTGCTGCGGCTGCGAAGATAAAGAAGGAGCCGGCCAGGAAGGCAGCGCCGAGAGTAAAGCAGTCCAGCAGGTCGCAGGAGAGGGTGGTCGACAGCGAGAGCGAGAGTGAAAGCGAAGAGGAAGAGACCCAGCGGAGCACGGCTACTACGACAACTGCTGCGGCCGAGACCGAAGAGGACTCCGAGACTTCCGGCAGCGACGAGTCCGGCAGCGACGAGACCGCGTCCGAATCCGAGTCCGGCTCCGAAGAAGAAGAAGAAGAAGACGAAGAAGAGCTCGCCTCCTCCGCGTATTCCCCCCCCAAACAGCGCAGCAGGCATATATACTAACACCTTGTAGAAAGCTTCCCAAGGGCAGCTACAAATACGCGCCCCCGCCCGAGTTCAAGCTCGTCCCGCCCGGCGGTGGTTCGAACCCGTTTTCCGCGGCGAACCTGAACGGCAAGGAGCTGTGGTTCATCACGGCGCCGTTGGCGGCGCCGCTGAGCAAGGTTGACCGGATCAGCCCCGCGGACATTGCGGAGGGGCTGCCGGTGCTGATGACGGGTTCGGGGAGGAGCTACTGTCTGAGGACGAAGGAAGAGGAGGAGGGGGGGGGAGAGGTGGGACTGTTTGTGGCTGATGGAAGGGGGGGGTATAAGTTAGGTGAGTTTTGTTTTGTGCCTGGGGTTTTGGGGGGAGAGGGGAGAGGGAGAGAGGCTAATGTGGGTGTGTGGGTGTGAACAGCGGGGAAGAAGATTTCGAAGAGCTTTCAGATGGTGGAGGCGCTGCCGACGGGGAGGGAGGTCACGGAGGAGATGATTAAGAGTAAGCCGGTAAAGCAGCAGCCGGAGGGGTTGAGGATGAGGTTTAAGCCGATTGGCTTTGAGGGCGAGATGGAGAGCGATGGAAACGTCGAGATGAGGGACGTGTCGCTTGAGGTGCGGCCCGCGAGAGAGGTTGCTCGCGGGGACGGGGAGCACAAGAAGAAGAAGAGGAGGACGCACGACGATAAGGAGGAGAGGAAGGAGAAAAAGCATAGGAGGAGGAGTAAGGAGTAGGTAGGTAGGTAGGTAGGTAGGTATGTAGGTAGCATGGCTTTTAATGGATTGGGTGACGAACGGGATTGGGGTTGCTAAAAAGTATTGTTTTTCTTTTTTCTTTCTTTTCTTTCTTTTCTGGTTTTTTGTATACTATTTATTACATCTGGTTGGTGTAAAAATCTACTTTTGCGTAGTGGAAACTAGTGAAGATATCATTGATCCAAGCGGACAAAACCTCCCCCGCCAAACACTCCCAGTCCAATTCTATCTATCACGCGGCTACCTGGGCTTGCTGCTGCTGCTGCTGCTGCACTACGATGTTCTGCAGCTGCATGATCTCGATCTTCATCTTCTCCTGCTTCTCCTGGATGCTCTTTATCTTCTCCTCGGTCCTCGTTCTGCCCAGCCAAACAAACACTCATGTCAGTCCACAGCTACCAACCCGCACGGGATCGAGGGGGGGTGCGCACATTTCCGCCTCGATAAACTCCAACCGTCCGCCCACCGCCATGATCGCCTCCGACTTGTCCTGCTTCACGAGCACGGGCCCGATGAGCTTGAAGATGTTTGCGCCGTCGTCGAGGCCCGAGAATTCCTGGCCGTACATATCCGCATCAGCTTAATTCCCAGCCCATCATCATCATCGCATCTCACCCGGGCCGGCGCGGGAATCATGGTACCTTCTGCACCGACTGGTTCTCCTGCAGCTGGCTCTCCAGCGTCTGCCGGGCCTCCACGACAGAGCTCAATTCTGCGCCATCCACCAGTCAATCAGCCGATGGATTCCCCTCCTAGTTGGGTTTGTGGTTTCGCGCAGAGCTTGCTTGCCTTTCTGGAGGGTGGTGAACTCCTCGGTCATTTTCTGTAGGGCTTGCTGGGGGTTTGCCATTGCTGGTTGTTATTATGGGGGGTGGTGGGCGGATGAGTGGTGAGTGAGTGGATAGTCGTGGGGTTGAGCTGAAGCGGCAGAAACACGGCCGCCAAGCCACGATAGACGAGGGTGACAACGACCGCCGTAACGTAACGTAACGTAACGCCCAGCCCTCGCCCACCTCGACAGCTTGCGTTGCCCTGATCATCTTGATCTCCGAGTCTACGCATCTGCCCTCTGCACACTACTACACTCCCTCCCCCCACAGAGCAGCTGGAGAGAGACACCGCATACATACTGAGGCTACAGACATCCACACACAGAAGACACAGAACACACACAGACACAGAAGACACGCTTCTCTGCAGTACACACTCCCATTCACTCCTTCGCTCCCCTCATTGACGGGCTGACTGCTCTGCTTACGCTGCCAGTGCACTGCATTGGAACATGGACCCGGGCTAACGTGGCAGCAGGGTCTGTCTGCATCTGACCGGAGGCTAAGCTGCTCGCCCGACAGATCGCCGCACGCATTACGAGGCCAGCCCCACCCCCGCATCTCGCATCTCCACCATTCCAACGATAAAGCTCCAGCTCCCCATCACCACCACAGTCGCTCCAAAGCCTAGTCAGATCCACATAGACAGCTCGCAATCATGTCGAACACCGACTTTGTTGGCGTAAGCATTCCCCTCTTCCCTCTCCCCCCTCCCCCCCCGCCCCCAGCTGACGACGCACACAAGAGCTAACCAACGCGCCTACCCCCCCGCAGAAAGCCATCGCGATCGTCAAGAAGGCCATCGAGGAGGACACGGCCGGCAACTACGAGGTGGCCTACCAGCAGTACTACCAGGCCCTCGAGTGCTTCATGCTGGCCCTCAAGTGGGAGAAGAACCCCAGGATGAAGGAGTCGATCCGCGGCAAAGCCGCCGAGTACATGGAGCGCGCCGAGAAGCTCAAGACGCACCTCAACGAGAACGCAAACAAGAAGAAGCCCAGCAAGCTCGGCGCCAACGGCACCACCAGCAACAAGAACGACCCGGACGAGGACACCATGGACCCCGAGAGCAAGAAGCTGCGCGGCGCGCTGGCCGGCGCGATCCTGACGGAGAAGCCGAACGTGAAGTGGGAGGACGTGGCGGGGCTGGAGGGCGCGAAGGAGGCGCTGAAGGAGGCCGTCATCCTGCCGATCAAGTTCCCGCATCTGTTTACGGGGAAGAGGAAGCCGTGGAAGGGGATATTGCTGTATGGCCCGCCCGGGACGGGAAAGAGTTACTTGGCGAAGGCGGTGGCGACGGAGGCGAATTCGACGTTCTTCTCGGTCTCGAGTAGTGACTTGGTCAGTAAGTGGATGGGAGAAAGTGAAAGGTCAGTTGTCCCCCGGGTTGGGGACCCATTGGGTGGCGGGCGGGCGGGCGGGCGGGCGGGTGGGTGCTGATGTAGCGGTGTAGGCTCGTGAAACAGCTCTTCACAATGGCGCGGGAGAACAAGCCGTCAATCATCTTCATTGACGAGGTCGACGCCCTGTGCGGAACCCGAGGAGAAGGCGAGAGCGAGGCCAGCAGGAGAATAAAAACCGAAATGCTGGTCCAGATGGACGGTGTAGGAAACGACACATCCGGCGTCCTCGTCCTCGGCGCCACAAACATCCCATGGCAACTCGACTCTGCCATCCGGCGACGGTAGCCCCCCCCCCCCCCCCCGGGGCCCTCCCCCGGGCAACAGACCAACTAACTAACCCCCCCCGCAGATTCCAACGCCGCATCCACATTGCCGTCCCCGACATGCCCGGCCGCATGCGCATGTTCGAGCTCTCCGTCGGCTCCACGCCCTGCGACCTCACGCCCAAGGACTTCAAGACGCTCGCACAGATGTCCGAGGGCTACACCGGCTCCGACATCAATATCGCCGTGCAGGACGCGCTCATGCAGCCCGTGCGCAAGATCCAGACGGCCACGCACTACAAGCGCGTCGGCGACAAGCTCACGCCGTGCAGCCCCGGCGACGCCGGCGCGCAGGAAATGACGTGGATGGACGTCGACCCGAATGAGCTGCAGGAGCCCGCGCTTGTCCTGAAGGACTTTGTCAAGGCGATCAATAACAGCAGGCCCACGGTGAGTAAGGAGGATGTCAAGAAGAGTGATGAGTGGACGCAGGAGTTTGGGAGTGAGGCGTAGGGGTAGGGGGGTTTGTAGCATTTAATGAGGGGAGGGGCGGAAAAGATATGGTTTTTTTTTTTTTTTTTTTCTTTTGTGCGTTTTTCGTTGTGCTTGTGTTTTGTTTCTGCTATCTTTTATCTTCCTTTTATAGGCCGAGCGCCGCTGAGGCCGCTGGGGGCGCCGTGGCCATGGATTCATGGTGAATTGGGGTTTTTATTTTGTAGGGTAGGGCGGGTATGGTGGATATGGTGGGTATACGTTTGGTTTGGTTGGGGATGGTGGTGGGGGGGTCTGTGATCGAGATATATATTTCTAGATCCTACTTGAAATTCTGTTATTTCTTTTTTTTTTTGCGAGGGCTGTCTGTGGGGGGGGGACTCGTAGATATTATATTTGTCTTGTTCCTGTTATGTCGTTATGCATGTGGGGTGAAATCAATGGTTAACCAAATACAGTTCCTTTTTTTCTACTGGGACAATGGCGAAAATCAAAAAAAAAAAAAAAAAAAAAAAAAAAGAAAAGAAAAGGCAGAGGGGTGCGTGTTTATTGCAATTAACTGCTTAGTTTCTGTGGCCGGCTAAAAAAAATGTCAAGTCGTCGTCATCGAGTCGCCATGCATGTCCCTGTGAGATCTCGACGCCGAAGAATGGCGGGGCATACATGTTACGAGACACACTGTCACTCCTGCTGGATTCTTAGCTGTAGCTAGTAGATACTGAGAAGATACTGGCCGTCTCACGACGGATGGGCGAGGGCTCTGGAGAACCCGGCCGGAATTTCGATTCACGCGTGGTGGATCATGAGGTATCACTCGGGCCAAAACATATCTAGCTGCCGTCGGGGGGGGGATCAAACCTGAGGGAGGTAGAAGAAAAGAGATGCAACGGGGGACTTGGATTATCTTTGGGGGAGTTGGTACTCTGTTGGTTGGGGTTGGGGGTAATTGTGGCTGTAGCTCTTGTGGAGAGCGTGGTCGTGGGGCTTTAATTCTGTAGCTGATCTTGGGCGTTGTTGAGGGGGCTGGCGGAGGTGGAGCTTGTAATTGAGGGAGCTGTGTAATGAGCTGCGACTGGTGAGCTGTGTGGGGAGTGTTGCAACGTTCTGCAGGTTGTGATGGGTCCAATGTTGTCCTTGGCTCGAGGTAATGAGGGAGGGAGAGCGCAGTGCAAAATGTATAGTGGCTCTCTCTGACATTGTGAGAAACATGTTCACGCAATTGAGTGCGGACAATTGTGCAAGCTTCCTCAGAGTGTAAAAGTAGTTCTGGCTATCTTGTAGATTCGGTTTAATTATAAATAGCTGCCTTCTGAGCATACCTAACACACCATTCTCAACAAACTAAGCTGTAGCCATTAATTTTCATAACAACCACATGGATTTAAATTCACCACAAGCAACAGACAAAATGTCCTCCCTCCTCACAACCACCGCCTATGCTACCCCCGACGACCTCCCCTGTGAGATGATCCTCTCAATCCTCTGCCTCTGCACCAGTTATGCCGAGCTCTTAAAACTCTCCTCGATTTCAAAAACATGGAGAATGTCCTACAACTCCATGAGGTCCACCATCCTCGCCGCCGTTACAAAGAACATTGTCGGCCCAGATGCATTCGACAACCTTGTCATTGTGCTCCGTTACCAACACTACACGATGCGCAACGGGCGCGGCTTGCTCGTCGTCGACTACCCGAATGTCAAGGCCGCCATGTCAAAGCGCCTCGTGTTCGACCCTGATCACTGTGCGCTCGTCACCGAGAACCAAGCCCACTATCAGCAAGCTTCAAATAACTTCCAGCATTCGCTCCCATGGGAACACCAGCTCGACCTTAAGATGTCCAGCCTCTGGGAAAAGAAGGAAATCCCGGTGGCCTTGTTCTATGAGATGTGGGTTGCTGCATTGAGGTTTGGCCTCGAGAGTATCGCCGACTGGAGTAAGCATGAGGAGAACAAGAAGCCGATGGGTGCTGTGAAGTTCCTCGACTACAGGCTCGCGGCTCAGTGCATGCTTGATGGCAAGTTCGTTGCTGTTCCACGCTGGGCGAAGAGGGCCCAGGCGGTCTATGAACTGGGTGGATCCCAGAACTGCTTCTTCGACATTCTGCTGAGGGCCTACGGGGCTGAGGGACATTTGGTGCAGGCGGCGAAGTGTTCGTCTCATTATACCAGACTGGTTTCGACCGGTACTGGAGATGGACACTTCTATGAGTATAGTTTTGTCGAGTTCTATGATTTTCTTTCTAAGAATCCTTTGGAGAAGGTTATCGAGAAGTATGATTTGGATAGCGATTGGCTCTGAAATCAGCAAGTCTTCGGTGTGTGGTCAAGATGATGAGGTGTGATATACGTACACCTGCTGGATGGTGGAGAGTAGTAAGTTTAACTGTGTCTTCTTCTTCTTATTTATACGTGGCTCTTCAATGACTAACTGCTGGCGATGAACATGTGTAGAATTACTTGATTTCTCAACTTCGATCTCGGCTGTTTATTTTCGCCATCTTCTCGGGTTTGGTCAGAACAGTTCATCTGGGGTTGTAAAAATATGAGGGTGCCACTTCTTGTTCAAAGTAGATACATGTGTGAATCCTGTATCAGAGTAAATGAATTTACAGTTGTACTTTCGGATGACTTTTTTTTTTTTCGTATTAGAGTGTTTCGCTGTAACATCTTTGAAATTGTTTTTTTACTATTATTTACACGTAGTCTGTAATTACATCTAAGTTGATCTCGTTCCCAGACTGTTGCGCACTTCGTGGTCTAGTGTTGTGTGCATGCCACTGCAGATAGATCGCGCACGTGACAACGACCACATCCCCTAAATCCCGAGTGATGATCCATGACCACACAAAACCAGCACACCAATCCAGCACAACTAGGCACAAACCCCCGAGAATCGAGTCAGAAGGACCTTCCATCACGAGTATCTAAGATTGAGCCCTAGGGAATGGCTCGAACCTTGGCTAAAAGTATCTTTGGGTAGATCTATTCCCCCACCTTAACTTGCGGTCGACTCGGTCGAATTGCAAACCCCCAACTTGCCCCGTTCCTAGACCAACCCATCAGTGAACAGCTCGCTAGAACTCTCATAGGCGATGAGCATAAGTCTATCCTATACCCGAACCGACCTGCAGCGTGTTGGTACCTGCAGAATTGTTGGTGGTGGTATCCCGACTCTCGAACGAGCCCGAAAAACCTATCATGACCCCGCCAAAAACAGCAAAAGTTGGAACTCTACACAGAGGGTCTGTAGTAGCTAAAGTCACGGGTTGTCTATGGTTCTTTCTGCTTTTTTACCGAGGCTACGTGGTTGGCAGGTCTGTAGGTAGGGGCATTGTAGGCAAGATGAGTTTGAATTGCTGCCGAAAATGCCACAGAAATCTGAGAGTAAGGGTCTGGCATATAAGTGTGGGGTCGGTATGGAGGGGTTAGGTGGCATAAATACTATGGCTTGTGCAATTGCCGCAAGAGAATAGCTGGATGCGTAGGTTTCTGTGGGCAATTGCATGTGCTTACACAGCTTGCTGTATATGGCTAACCATATTGTTCAGGGCTAGGTGACAGAGACTGTGGCCTGTGTGTGTGGATTCTGTGGGTGGCTAAGGATTGGGATCATACGCCCCAGTGTTAGGTGGGGTAGACACTTAGCTATGTCTGCGAAAAAGTTGCAAGAGCACAGCTACACACGTTGGTGTTAAGCAACTTTGAGGGTTAGGTGGACCTTGGCACATCCTCCCCACTCCATAAAAGACCAGCTCTCCCGCTACCTTTTTGTTTCCTTAAGGCTTTATTTAGTGTACGAAGTAAACCGTTCGGGAGAACGAGTTGACAATTTCTTATGTTCTGCCCCCTCACTAGTCCGCCGACTGACGACCGAGACTTGGTGGGACTTGCCTACCACCAAGTCAGTTCTTTTTTTTGGAAATTCGGACCCCTGGACTCATTCTGGGGGTCCATAATATCGCCAGCGTTACACTGCTGCTGGCTGATGTGAAAAAAATTCTTTTTTCCATTGCTTCTTGGCTGCTTGCGAGGAAGCAATGAAAGAAAGTTTTTTTTTCTTTGTTTTTTTTCTTTATTTTTTGTATTTAATTTTTCTAATCCAAGATTTTTTTCTTTTCTTTTCTTTTCTTTTCTTTTCTAATCTTAATATTAATTAATTACATTTGGTTTTGCCTGTTTTTTCTTATTTTCTTTGGCCTCGAATTCAGCGGGCCGCCTGCCACGTACGTTACATCTAGGTATGTACATGTAGAGAGGCTGGACACGCATAAAAATGAAGCCGAACTTGCGCAATTGCAATGTAAAGATAACTCATAAAGTACGTTCACCGCTACAATGCCAAACTCCGAGCAGTAGCAGAGGAAGCAGCAGCAGAAGAGAACGCAATCTCTAACTTGCTCGTGGCCTAATTGCCATGTGCATGTGCGCATTCCACACGAGTCCCTACTCCATTTGGCACGTTGTCAAAAAAAAGAGAAAATTGCACCGTCTTGGCATTCTATGGGCAACAACAATCTTTTTACCAGTGCCCTGTGTAAGCCACAAAAAAAAAAAAAAAAAAAGCTCTAGGCCAGGTCACACTCTTTTGGCAAAATATCTTGCATTACGATCATTGACCCTGTAATAAGAAAAATTTGAGCCTATTATGAGCCCAAGTTTACGGCAGTATTTCAACATGGTAGAAATTTGAAAGCGAGTGTCGGTGCGGTTATTGATTTAGCTTTGTAGCATGAAGATCATGACTCGAGATCAATTGACTGCGCTGCTAACATCGAGGCTGGCTAGATAAAAATACAGATGTAAAATACTTTGGTGGGTTATATGCCTCTTTTAGTTCCCTATATGTATCTTTTTTATTTTTTCAATAAACAAGTTTTACAGAAGCAGCCTAGCGCCACTTCCTGCCAATGATACATCCGACTGGTTTACTACAAGATTGTAAATCCTGCCACCACCTCCAACATCACCCACAACCCCCTACGCCCCCAGCGCAAAATCGATAACCTGCAACCTCCTCGCCGGATACGACCCGTAGGTCCTGAAGAACACCGAAAGTATGTTCTGGTCTTTCAACCTCGCCTTATCAAACAACGGCTCTGTATCAAACCCTGTTCCTGTCCACAGGAGCTTCCAGTCCTTGAACGACCCCGAGGCCGTCGACGAGTAGATGTACACCTCAGTGTTTGTGTTAGACGGGATAAGCGCGATGAGCTCGCCGCTGTTTGCGATTGCCAGCTTGCCGCGGAGGCCGGTGGCGGTGGGAGCGCCGAGGCCGCTGATGGAGATGGCGTTGCGGGTCCAGATGCCTAGGGGTGTGTTAGTGGGGTGACCAACAGGGTGAGGGGGTGAGGGGGAGAGGGGGGAGAGGGGGGGGGGGGATGGCCTACCAGTAGCGCTCCGCCAATAATGATACCACAAATACGTGCCGCTCGTCGTCTCCCTATTCAACACATGGAACCTCCCGGCGGCGTCCGCAATCTGCCCCTCCTGATTCAAAATCCCACTCCCTTGCGGGATCGTGTACACAATGCTTCCACTCGTCGTGGGTCCAATGGCCGTGCCGGCGCTCATGCTCGCGATTGTGGTCCCGGCGTTGTTCTTCCATGTGAGCCCCTTGTCGTCGGAGTAGGCGTAGCCAAGGTCGTGGTTGGTCACGACGTCGGGTGTCTCACGCCAGGTCCAGGAGGCTTGGAGACGGCCCGAGAGGTAGTCAATGCCGTTGATGTAGGCGTTGTTGTCGCTGCCTTGGAGGTAGCGGCCGACTTGGGACCAGCTGTGTGTGGTGGAGCTGTAGAGGTAGATGTAGGAGTCGCCGGAGCCGGAGCTATGGGTGGTTAGCGTTTGTGGGTTGAGAGGGGGAGGAGGCAAACTTACGCGCCAATTCGGAGCTCGAAGAAGAGGTCGTTGTCGACTCGCTCGAAGCGCGGGTATGTGACGGGTGTCCAGATGCCAGTTGCGCCGGGGAGGGCGTTGAGGGTGCTACCGAAGAGCGCGGTGGACCATGTGTAGGAGGCCGGGTTTGTTGCGACGCCTTGCTGCGAGACGCGGTAGTGGAGAGGGACGTCGTGATGGTCTGTCCATGCCAGGGGGAGTCAGTACCTGAAGAATTGACTTGACGGGGAGAGAGAGAGGAGTATACCATAGCTGAGATGGATAGTACCATCGCCGGTAGAGATGCCCAGCGAGATCGTATTATGCCCATCAATAGTGGTCTGCACATAGTCCTTGAAGACCATGAACTCCCACGCCGCAACGGGATTAATCTTGCGTCGGCCAAGCGTCACCAGGTTCTGCGCATATGTGCCTGATGTGTTATAGAACGCTGCGTACTGCCTGTGTGTTCGTTTCAAACATCAGCTTTTTTCCAGTCCCAGCGATCATTGACAATGCACGGACCATCCGTTATACGACGTGATCGCACTCGTCTGAAAGCTCCCGCCGTTGAGGCGCGCACTGCCTTCGACGTCAACCCCCAGAGTCGTTGTTGTCGCGCTTGTGATTGACAGCCCAAAGACCACCGAGGCCGCTGCGGTCAGCAGCCAGAGGAGTGTATGGAAATTAGCCTGCATACTTGTGTCGTCGTCTTTGCAAAAACTGCTGGAGCAAGCTTGATCTTCGCTTTTCAATGGGATGTGGGCTGCTTCTTATATACGGAGCTCAACTAACTAGCTCAATATATCCCACCCAGCAGGTGCCGGCGGGCAAACCGGCACATAGAACTCGGCGTACGGACTAATAATGTCCGCCAACATCTCGTGTTGTGTTTTTCGTTGTTTATAACCTGGTATTTGGTTGTAATTATCCCCTGGGTTCGTGGGTTCCTGGAATGGACGGACGACCAGCGGAAAAATCCCCGGGCCAAGGCGCGGCGCGGCGGCAGGCTAATGTTTGGTCTGTGTGGGGAAGGATAATGCGGGGTGGGTGTGAGGAGGGGGGAGGTTAATCTAGACCTGTGTATGTGTATGCAGAGTAGATAGATACCCCTGCATGGAGGGATGTGATGTGCCTGGGTGTGTCGATCACAACGGCAACTTTTGGAGAGAGGCAGCGGCTGCTCGGATTCCGCACGCTGCCCTGCCCTTCCCCCGGCTTTCGGTGCCAGGGCCCGAAGCAATGTGCTTGTGGAACCCGACATGTGCAGTGGGCGGTGACTGTGGAGAACAGGGCAGAGTGCTCTACTGACTCGTGCTCGCCAGATGCAGTCCAACTGAGAATGCTTCGCTTTACTGGAGGCTCTATTGCTCTAAATATAAATGTTCGGATGCAGGAAGATGATATGAGAAGTGAGAGTGATGATGGATGATGGATGGATCAAGTGGGTACCACAGCTTAAATGGGTCTTGAAACTAACACATGCTTAACCAATCCCAACCGTCCACAGGTGCAGCAGCCAAGTGCCGAGTGAGCATTTGTGATGGCAGGTAAATATTAATTATAGTTCCCAAAAATACAGCCCGCGCGCTCTAACTACAATACATGAATGGCCTAAAACATAATAATAATAATAATGAAAAGACCATAAGATTGCAAAAGACAGCTGATTTCGGGAACATGAGTCTGGGGAGGAGCAGTGTAGATATTGCAATATCGCTCGACAAAATAACAGTGCCCCGCAAACCACTTCACCTCCCAAAGTTTCCATTTCTATCTGGTTACACCTGAATATTCTCCCCCGCTTCCTCTAAAAAAAAATCCTGTTTACACTCAAACATACTCCATCAGTACTCGCCCAATGCTGCCAGTTCCTGCTTAACCTGGTCCTCTGTCTTGATCTTCTTAAGTTGCGTATCCTCGAGCTTCTCTCCGCTGGCCAGTCTCGCTTTCAGGTCCTCGATAGCTCTCAACTTCTTATTCAGGCCTCTGAGTTTTTTCTCATTACTTGAGGGAGTATCCGGCGCTTCTGGTTTAGGAGACTCACTCTTAGGTGGAATCTCCACTACTTGCGGCGGAGCCAATGTCTCGGCTCCGGATCTCGACGGGTGCTGCGAGTGCGTGTTGCGATCGCTCTTGCTCTTAGTCCTCTTGAGCCCGTCTTGGTCCCGGTCCCTGTTGTTGCGACTCTTGCTCCGGGGGTGGGGGCTGCGGTTGTCCCTGCGGTTCTGGTGCTCGCGCCCATCACGCCCTTGGCGCTCGTGGTTGTTACCGTTCGCGGGGCCAGAAGGGGCCCCGGGCACTCCAGGGGCGCCTTGCTGTTGTTGTTGCTCGAGCTTCGCCTTTTTAGCAGCCTCCCGCTTCTTCTTGTTCTTGAGCGCGGTCTTGCTAAGGTTATCCTCATCAGCACCAGTGCCAGTTCCGGCCAATGATACGCCACCACCCGGAGCTGCTCCAGGAACAAACTTCTCAGCTGGTGCAGCGCCCGGGACTTCCCGTCTCTTCCCTCTTCCAAAACCGTTAGCAGGTCCGGAGCCACCCCCGTTGGCATAGATATGCGCCGCACCGCCCTCATCTTCACGTTTGAAGTGGAGTGGGGTTGCCGTATTACGGGCATGCGGTGGGCGATAAGCACCAGTTGGCTTTTTTGGAGCGGTAGTAGCAACGTGCGCGGCTGCTGATGCGTGCGGAGCCGGCGCAGCTGGGAGTGGGTTAGGCAGCGGGTGAGCAGAAGCGGCCTGGGGACGCCAAAAGACGTTGTACAGCTCATCGATTTCACTGGAGTACATCAGTTCTCCAGTATAATGCCAAATTTTGACACCATTATCAACCCTCAACCTCGGGCTAGTAGTGGCAGTTAGGATGTGCCTTCCATCAGGACTCCATTCGCAAACACTAGCGTTAGAGGCTTCGATCGTGCAGATCTTCCTCATTCCAGCTTGCCTGTCGTAGATGTCCATCGATCCGTTCAAATTCCCGAAACCGGCAACAAGAACAAACCTGGCATGAGGGGAAAAGAGGATAGTGTTCCTTGGTCCCGGGGCAAGCTGATGGACGGCCTTGGCGCGAAGATCGAAAATAGTCGTCTTAGCAGGCATGAATCCATAAACCACACCGAATTCCCTGGAATCAGCCGACCAAGCGACATCATGGATAGGCCCTTCTTTATCTACAATGCAATGTTGTATTAGTAGCAAACCCTATCACGGGGTTGTAGGAGTTGATGCATACCAAGAGAAACGCGGCAGTCGTAGTTACCAGCGACGGTAATCAGGTAAAGGTTAGTCTCCCCATAGTAACTTTTTCCAGTCTTATCTGCGTCAGTCTGCGCAAAAATAAGAACGCTGGTTCCCGTCGCATTCCACTTCAGTTGAATCCTGTCCGCCTTGAAAAAGCTCTTTTGGCACAAAATAGCATTCCATTGAGGAACCTCATAAACTCTAACCTGAGCTGGGTTTCCCTTTATAACAAAGTCAGCGCTTCTAGTTCGCCTCGAGGAATTAGAAACCAATCACCTTTCGTTCCGGAATAAACACGGCAACAGAATAATTCTTCCCAGGGCTCAGCGCAAAGTCCAGGACCCCCTCGACGCGAAGATGGCCCCAAACAGTGGCCATATTATTGGCCTCGAAAAATTGGACCTCATTCGTGACGACCCTTGCGCAGTACTTCTCATCATGAGTGTACTGAAGGTTCCATCCTGACTGAGACTTCTGGACGAAAGCTATAACATGCTCTGCAGTTGCTGTTTTCCAAACTTTAAGGTTCTTTGTTGCGTTACCATCTTCCTGTTTGGCTTCGGGGGTGTTAGTAGCTGGACAAATGGAGACTTTAAATCAGCTGAAGCAACATACTAGGCCTTTCCCATGTAATAATATAACTTCCGTGAGGAGAGAACCCAATTTCATGTACATTCTGAGCTGGGAGAGTGCTGATCACCTCACCGGTATCCGGGTTGGATATTTTAACACTGTTGGGTGTGAGTCAGCATGAAGCCTAAAACGAGGTATCCGCAAGATTCGCGTAGGAGGGCTCGGTTTGGAACAGGAAATTCGTACTCTTCATTGCATGCCCAGGCAAAATATTTGCCATCTGGACTATACACACAGCATCGGTTGTTGGTCTCTGGTCTGTAGTGGCACGCGAAGAGTCAGTTCAGAGAGTTGACGATAATGGTAACAAATTTTGGGTAGAGCAGTTCTCCACGCCAAGATTAGGGGGGGAATATTACTTATTAAATCCAGGCTGCGGCGAATATTGGGGATATGCTTCAGTCAAGCCGATAGTCTTCTGTGACCGGACTAGAGGGGTAAAGTCAGCTCGAAAATTCCATCAATCATGATTCCATCCCATCATCGCCACGAATACCCGGAATCCGACCAAGATGCTAAATCGCTGCAGGTCTTATCTTCAGAAGTTATAGATTCCGGTGGATTCGCTTTTCATCTTTGATATTTAAAGTGCGGGCCTCGGATGAGTTGACTTACAAGCAAACTGGGTCTGTACTGTGGTGGCTGCCATAATGACCCTCGCAAGTGAATGGGAGAGTTAAATTTCGGAATCTAGCGGATAGAACTTCTTGTATATTCTATTCGCTTTTCCTTCGTTTCGATTCTTAAAAATTGTATAGATTTTGTGGTTGTTAAGTTATGTAGATTTTTTGCTTTTTTTTCTTACTCGGAAGTTCGATCTGTTTCAAGGGTGGGTACCCGGGAACTCGTCTAGAACAACGGGCGAATTATGAGAAAATTAACCAGACTTGGGTATTGAAAAGAGTGAGCAACCTTGCAAGAAACCGAAAAGGCAAAAAAACTGGCAAAACGTGCAAAGCTTGAACACCGGAAGTCTCGAGGAGTAGTTAAACCACCGAGAACAGGGGCGGGACAAGAAGAACCGAAACGAAGAAGCCGAGGGAGGATCGCGAGGCGATGGTGGGAAGGTTGAGGAAACTGAGACTCGGGAGGGAGGAAAAGAAGAGAAGGAGAAAGAAGGTTAAGAAAGGAACACGACGACAAGCTAAAACAGAGGACAGCCCCCCCCAGACTGAGAAAAAGCATGCTTGCGTGCGTCGCTGCAACGAACGAAGGGGTCGCAAGCAGCACCACCAGAATCAGCCGGTAAAACTTCCTTGTTGGGGAAGGCGGGACAGCTTGAACCACAAAGGACCACACCCAAGTAGAATTTCTGCAACCGCTGGCACAGCTTATGGACAAGTGGGGCGAAGTGAAAAAGTAAAAAAGACAAAGCCTCTCTCTCTTACAAAAGTTACATACAATCTTACCTTTAATTTCCAACATCAAGTCAGCACGTATTGAATCTACAAGGACCTGACTTCATCTTAGCAGGGGATCGATTGCAGTCGTTGGGGGGAGCTCGAATCCTCAGAAGAGTTTGGATTCACCTGTCAACGGGCTCTCAGCGGGGTTCCACGCTTGAATTCGGGGATTTATCAGGGTTCTTCCGTCGATCAATGCAGTCTCAAATTAACGATCTTGACCTCGCAACACAAGACAACCCATGCATTCTCTCGCACGGAGCATGCAGCTTTTAAAAATCCGATCTGATTACGATAATCGTTTGACATGTTTACGTGGTTTTGTTTCAAACATCAGCCTAAAGGAGAAGGCCATTTCCTTGATTGTTTTTTCGACTAGAAATAATACGATAGAAATTCCAGGTAGCTACAATACCTAGCTCATACGTGTCCAAAATCAGATGTATGTAGCTGGCAATTTCTGCTCCCTGTCTTTGCAACTCCAACCAGCACAGCCATCCTGCTTTCTATTCGAACCCCAATTGAATGAATTGAATGGCCTTTTCTTCGCACTGCGGGCCCCAAGCTATCTATCGTACTGTATGTCTACTAAACAAGCACTCGGCACGCAGTCGTTTCAGTTGAAAGAAATACCGAGCCGTGCCAATCTCCCGTACGCCGTTGTGTTAAATAACACGTGAAAATTGCACCTATATTTATCTGCACTAATTACTACCTGAGGAACTCAGTTGTTGTACTCCAGGATCCAGGGGGAAGAATTGGCTACTCAAGATCCGCTGGTCCTGAATCTTATCTTGCATCAAGATCCGCTGGTCCTGAATCTTATCTTGCATCAAGATCCGAAGTCGAGATAAATATTTCGTACCAGACCAAGAAGTCTTGGAAGAGCACAAGATCTAAGATCGAAGAGCCAAGAGTTGTTTATGAAGGTACACAACGTCGGCCACGTTTGGTGGGCCTGACTAGGAATATTGGACCGTGCACTGGCATGGCAATCCTAGTCATTTCTAATCAATGCGGTATAGATTCTACACTGGTAGACTCGCACAAAACATGGAATACTTTGATGCACCCCCATCAAAAAAGGGGTTCGATACTACACCCGAATGATAAAGAAGAAGCGCAGGCCTACATGGGATCATTTCTATAAATCAACCGATGAATAATTAACACAAATCTCAAATATACAGAAGTCTAATCAAGCATGCAATTACTAGCAAAACGTTGGAAAAGTTTGGAAATATTAATCTGCGTGCCGCAGATGTCTTGCTACTGATTTTTGTTTTTTTTACAGACGGAGACATCGTCTCATATGTTACACTGACGTCAAAAGCGCCCTGTAATGTACTCCTTCCTCATAACGTTCTTCCTGAATCGCCACACTCCAGCGCCCATCCCGCCTGCACCCTCAACTGCGCCGACATTAATCCATGGTGCATCCTCGTTGAACGCACCAACCATGTCCCATACCGGCAGCTCACCTCTTCCTCTCACAAGGACTACTTTCAAGCCGTCCTCCTCCCACCTCGCAATATCCCTCTCTCTAATACTCGTCAAGAGTTGCAAGCATCCATTTTCCACATCAATAGCACGGATCAGCGCCAGCCCAGCCGCAAAACTACTTTCCGGCACCGGTGCCTCTGCAATCCATGGTAGCCCCGACCCTGGCGCGGTGACAATTTGTGGGAATGCATACTCCTCTACGAGCACCACGCCCACCAGTGTACCATCGACCGCAGTGATGAGTTCCTCAGGCGCCACATTCTCAGTCAACACCGTAATCCCATCAATGCCCGCCTCGGGGCCCGTATGTGGAACAACCCACGGCGCCATGGCCGTTAACGGGGTGACGAAATCCCAATTTCCCTTCTCGGGACGATGATGCATATAGCACATGGTCTGCAATAGTCTCAGATCCGCTGCCGTGTACCTATTGGACGAAGCCCCCGCAACGCTCATCAACTCATGGAGCGCCACATTCGGCGGGATTACCCCCAGGACAGGGTTGAAACGCTCTGAGGGGGTGGCGATATGCACTATGTCTGATGCCTGTGAATTGTAGAGGATTTCACTGAGTAGCTCGAGGCCGAGGCCCTTTGTCCACCCAGCAGTATTGATGAGGAGAGGGGTTCGGGCGTCATCTCCACTTGTGGCCGACTCTAGATTCTCGCGGTAGGTGGCGATTAGGTTTATAATACATGATATGTAATGTGCCGGGTCATCCTTTGGCGAATTATAGCCTGTGTAATGGGCCCGGACTACAGTATCTGGGTTCGAATGTGTGAACTGTGGTCCGAAGACCGGCTCCGTAATACGGTGAAGAGAGACGAAGCCTTCGGCTGTGAATTCAGGTTGACCGGGATCTACATCGAGGAAGGCGATTGAGGTACACGTCGACGTGAGAAGCTTATTGATAAGGGTGCGGCAAAAGGTGGATTTCCCCGCGCCTTTGGAGCCGGTTATTATTATTGAAGGGGGAGAGGGTGTAGAGTGTGTTTCCGGGACGTTTTTCTGGACGAGGGTATCATAGACAGTATTAAAACTGGGTGAGGTGTTTATTGTAGGGACGGGGTAGGTGGTGGAGAACAACTACTCTCGTTGTTAGTAGCTGCCGATGATTAAGAGCCGATAACCTTACTGGGAAAAATGACACTGTCTCCTCGGTCCCCTTGGACTTGGTTCCTGCCGGGGTCCATATGCTCTTAAACAACGGAAATATTTTCCCGATATCTCTTAGTCCCGAGTTGAGGTCTGCAACTATAATCTCTGCATCAAATCGCTGGTCCCTTCCCTCCGCCTTACCCTTGAATCTGTTACATTCGATGACTGGCAATGGTCCAGTCGAAGGCGCATATATGGTTTGGCGACCTGATTCCTTTGTTAAGGTAGCTCCGTAGAGTGCTATACTTCCTGTAACGACCTCGAGGACGTATTCGCCGAGTATAACGAGCGTTTCGCCGGAGGTGAGGCGGAAGGTACCAGTAAGATTATCTTCGGACTGGATATAATTGTCGGAGTTGGGAACAAAGGTTGAAATCTGAATCGGTTCTTTCTCTACGGGCCTATATCCCATCAATTGGTGAGTATTCATCCCCGCTCTTATACCAAAGAGCTACTGACCCTTCATTCACCTCCACCATAACCTCAACATCATCTTCAAATCCTCTTGCAACCTCTGCAAGCTCGCCTACATCGACCATTTCCTCATCTGCTCCATCGGTACTCTTCCGCCCGCTTATTATGCGCGCAAGCGCAGAATCATCCAGACTCGTATTCCCATGCTCCTGCGCTGCAGTCGGATTGGCTATCTCTGCTTGCACCTTAAGCTTCTCTTCGATCTCGCGCCGTTTCGCTGCAATTTCTTCGTCTACACCTGCAGTCTGGATCTCTGCTACTGTGGCTGTGGCCCCCTCTACTGCGGGGCTTTTTGTTGTTGCGGCCGTCTTCTTCTTCTTGGGCTTCTCGGGGGTCTCTGCTGCTACTGCTGGGGCAGGTGGTTCTGGTGCAGCGGGTACAATTACGTCGCGCGACCGCAGCCTGCGCGCCGCAAGTGCGCTGATGGGCGCTGCTACAGTGGGGGTTTAACACACTGATCCATGTCTATTATCGGGAATGATTGGACTGTAAGAGGTACCTTTTACTTCGTCTCTGCTGCGTTTCGGCATTTCTGGGGGTGGTGGTGGTGTTGGTGGAGGCTCTGGGAACTTTTTTTCTGGGTAAGGATGCAGGAACATCGAGGATCTGATAAGATTATGCAGTGAGGCTCCAGCTCCTGGGATCAATTCACGAATATATACAAATACAGCAGACTTGAATCAACGCAACTTTATGTCTTAAGACTCGTTCAAAAATCAGTGCAGTTCGAATGGGAAGTTACCATCTCTATCCTATGATGCTGACGGCCTGCCAGTCGCTGTTTCTCTTGGCATGACTTTTTCTGGGGAGAGAGCTTTCCTATATCTATGGGAAAGAATCGATTACTACTAGCGCGGTATGCAAAAGATTAGATCTAAGCCAAGATCTAATCAATAGAGAAAATCCGCATTTGAACCTACTAAAGATGTCTCACATATATGTATTGTACCTCACCTCTTTCTTATTTCTCATCAATCGTTTCTTGCATTTACTAAGTACCAGGGGTAGGAGCGTTTCACAACTTATGATAGGGACTTGAATCTTTTTTTTTTTTTTTTTTTTGAGGAATTTTGTATAAATAAAGGTCTCCTATGACTGTACATCTCACATATATTACCACCTAAAACATGATCCTTCCCATCATGCGCCCGGCAAACAAAAAGAAAAAGAGACCAAACCTAAAGACCTAGTAGTCTTCCTACCCTCCGTGCAAAGCACCCAACTTTCCAGCACAAATTTGAGCCGAGTTGTGATTTGTTCTCAACCGACAAGCCGAATATACTTTGGAGGATTTGGCTGTTGAGTACCAGGAGATACTGCTGGTTTTGAATCCCATGGGGCATCGACTATACCGGCAGAATCTCACGTCAGTATAAGATGTTTCCAAGATATAAAAGGAATTAAGGCAGTGTTTACATACTGGGTATCTCCCCGCTACTCCTAATAGCCAAAACCAGTATTCTCGGCCTCTAGAGGCCCCACACCAGGCAATCGTTTTGTGCTTCTCGGGGAGCCAAAATATCTTGTATAGCCTGCGAGTTGCAATGTTAGCTATAAGGGAATCTTATTATATGAAAGATCATTTCGGAGAGAGATATATATACTTTGACGTATGACGAAGCCATGCGTTGAATGTCTCGTGGGAGAAGTCGGCCACTGACGAAATAATTGGAGGGGGGAGACGGCAGGAGAATAGGGTTGCCGATCACTGGCTTACCCACAGAAGCGCTATGAGTAGCAGGTGGAGTAGCAGGTGGAGTATTTGGTCGCGACCCAGAAAATACAGGCCCCCCGGAGTCGCTCGACGATGACTCCGATGGCGGTGTTCTCGGACGAGGAGGGGTAGCGTGTCCGGAGGAATCAAGCAGTGTTGCTTGCAAGACTAGGAGGAGGAGAGGGGAGGGGGAAGGAGGTGCTACCGTGAGTTTCTCGCGGGAGGACCATATCCCGTAGGGATGATGGCGAGGAGAGAGGATCAAGCATCGCTGCTTGCAAGACAACCGGGCCCCTCTCAGTCAGGGTGGAGGGGATGAATAGTGCGGGTGCTCTCTGGCATCTCACCAACTCCCGGAAAAGAAAAGACAATGTCCTATAAAGACAGGGACGACCAGACAGGGTCAAGCATAGTTGCCTGCAAGACAACCGGGTCTCTCCTATGGTGGGAAGGAAAAGCGAGAACCATTCGGATGCCCTCTGGCATCCCTCAACTCCCGGAAAAGCTGCACCATGCAATGATGGCTTAAAGACAACCAGGTCTCCCTTACAGGTTTTTAAATGGGCCTTCGACATCACGTCTTCCTCGGAACCCGGGATATGCCTATGAGATAATTAGCATGAGTGGTTTTGCAGTAATATTTAGATTCAAAACCAAGGGTGGCATACTCAATAATACCTCCATCCCTAAACCCGCCAGAGATCGATTTGGCTTTTCAAAGCCGTGGTTGGGAGACTGTCTGAGATATTCAGGCGGAGTAGAAGGGAAGAGGAGGAGGGAAGGGAGAAATCGGAGGAGGTCGAAGAGGAGGAGGAGGAGGAGAAATGAGTCGAAGAGAGAGATGAAAAGGGAGAGCAAAAAGCCCTCCCAATTCAATCTCTCTGTGTCTTTTGGATTTATTTCGACTCTGTTGACTCGCTCGATGCTATCCATGAGAGTTCTTCGGACCACCGAGAATGGTAAGTCCCTCAATACCGTTCTTGAGAGGCATTAGAAATGTTTCAAAAAAATGTTGATGCTCTCAAACTTACTTCTAAAGACCCCACCAAACACCCATAACGTGGGGCAGGCAGCCCCCCACCGAGAATCGCGTCCATCATATTAGGACGCCCCCTCCATACTGCTGCTGCAAATTCTTGCCACAGTATAGGCCGAGGGCGTTGAGCCTCTCGATGCCATCCCTAAGAGACGTTAAAAATGGTTTTTAAAAAATATTAATGCTCTTAAACTTACCTCTGAAAGCCCCACAGAACACCCATATCGTGTGGCATGCCACCGAGACTGGCAGCCCCCCCCCCCCACCCCCCCCCCCCCCCCCCCGGCAGGAAACCGTATGAAGCGTTCGGACGCTCCCTCGATATTGCTGCTGCAGATTCTTGCCGCAGTCCCGATCCAAGGAGTTGAGCTGAGGCTCTTCTCTCTTCTCTCGAAGATGAGGAGTGGTTTAAAAAAAAAATAGGGGGGGCTAAAAATAAGAAGGATGGGTGGTAAGAAGAGAGCTCTGATGAAATAGAGCTTGAGATAGAGGGAGGGAGGGAGGGAGGGATGAGAGAGAGATCTGAGAGGTCCCCCTCTCAGTCTTCTGGTGACACTGAGGTCAGTGAAGCTCTTGATTCCATCCAAAGCTCTTGATGTCATCTCAAGCTCTTGATGTTATCTCAAGCTCTTGATGTTATCCAAAGCTCTTGGAGACTTTGGGGCTATTTTGCGAGTATGGAGAGGAAAGAGGGAGGAGGAGGGGCGGGGGTTCTATTTATTGCTCGGATCAGGATGATGGAGTATTCAATACATGGGCGTAACAATAGAAAGTAGGACAAGCTGGCGGATGGGGATGGGGACGTAATGGGGGTATTGTAAACATTGGGCATGCTACTTTAGCTTCAGCTCGATGCGAGACTGCCGGTGGTGGGGATGGAATACATAAATGCATATCCGGTATCTCTAGTCCTTCATCAATTCACAGTACAGCACTCGATGCAGAGGATACAATAGGAATCATAATGTACTTAGGAATATCGGTTGATAAAGCGATTATTTACCACTCTTGCCATCCTCATTATGAGTAAATGTCCCCAACCATCCACTACACCATGATACCAATCAGAATACCAATAAGCGGCAAATAGCCCCCCCCCGTTGCGCACATCCCTACCAGCCCAAAAGAACAGACTACAACAACCCGCGGACGAGACACCCCCTTCGGTAGCTTCCAGGCCAGCCGGAAGACTAGACCCAGATCGAAGGTAGCTTTTTACCTACTATATGTACATGTAGCAAGCCAAACGCTGTGTGAAGCCGAGCCCGCACCCTCTGCCACTCGTTCCAGTGAGTCCATACCAGCACTTCATCGATCTGTATGTGTAGCTACGTAGTCCGCCGAATCCCACCATCATGCCCATCACACACACCCCCCCCCCCTTTTTTTCTCAAACAATACCAAACCCAAGAACCCACCGCCCATGGCCCGCCTACGTAAAACATCATCTACGCATCCCCCCCCCCCCCCCAATCCCAATCCCCGGCCAAACAGTCAAGACGCTCAAAAGATTTACCGGCCACACAATCATTGACCTGTCGTCCGGGTGCGGTGCGGTGCGGCCGATCACTGACCTCAGGTATAGTGTGTGTGTGTGTGTGCGTGTGTGGTGGTACCGCGGATGCAGGGGAGAGAGGTTCGCCGCTAGCGCGGGAGTTGTGTGCATGGGCGAATTGCGGCGGCTGGAGTGGGTGGTACTTACCAGCTGGGTCTTACTGCTTTTGGACGGCGGGTTGTGTGGGTTGGTGTTTAACACTTTGTGTGAGTGGTGGGTGGGTGGCACACGAAGTAGTAATCTTATCTGATGCTTAAGTGGCATTGGTAGGCGAGTGATCGGGTGTGATGATGCGGTAGGAATGTCTGTCTGTCTGTCTGTCTGTCGCTGGTGGGTGGCAGGGTGGATTTGGATGGATGGATGGATGGTAAAGTGTTCTGTTTGGTGTACCTTGTGCCCCCTTTTGGATGAAGAATTTTGTGATTGACAAGAGATTTTTATTTTAAAAACTGCGCTCTATCACCGCAGACCCAACTACACCATTCCCCCCCCCCCCCCCCCCCCCCAGGCACAGGCAGACAGCTATATATCTATCCGCGCACCCAGACCCTAATAGAACCGAAAGAAAAAGCCAAACAAGAGAGCGAAAAAAAGAGAGAAAAAGAAGAAGAAGAAAGGACCAACTAAACAAAGCTAACGCTCTATACACAACACAATCTACTGAAGGATCTTCCTCACCTCCTCAATCTGCGCCAACACACACTTCCTCGCCGTGCCGCCAATGGCCGCCCTCCTCTCCACGCTCGTCTCGAAATCAAACACCATGGCGACATCCTCCTCGAACTCGGCCCTGAGGCCCTTCAGCCTCTCAAGCCCAAGCTCGTCGATACCGTTCAGGTTGAGATCCTCAGCCATCCTGACGGCCGCACCAGAGACATGGTGGGTCTCACGGAAGGGGACGCCCTTGCGGACGAGGTAGTCGGCCAGATCGGTCGCAAGCATGTCCATGGTGAGGGCACCACGCATCTTCTCGGGGTTGATGGCGAGGGTCGAGAGCACGCCCGTGGCAATGTGGATGGAGTCGAGCAGCGTGCGGGTGCAGTCAAACAGCGGCTCCTTGTCCTCCTGGAGGTCCTTGTTGTACGTGCTGGGCAGCCCCTTGAGCGTGTACATGAAGCCGGCCATCTGGCCAAACACGCGGCCGCTCTTGCCGCGCAGCAGCTCGAGCGAGTCCGGGTTCTTCTTCTGCGGCATCAGCGAGCTGCCGGTCGAGTATGCGTCGGCGAGCTTGACGAAGCCGAACTCCTGCGTCGAGTAGATGATGAGGTCCTCGGCCCACCTGCTGATGTGCCCCATGAGGAGCCCGCCCCACATCATGGTCTCAACCACAAAGTCGCGGTCCGCAACGCCAACCATGCTGTTCCCAATCACGCCCTCGAACCCGAGCTCCTTCGCCAGGAATTCGCGGTCAACCTCAAAGGGGTTACCCGCCAGCGCACCACACCCAAGAGGACACTTGTTGATCCGCTTCCTCACCTGCCTGAGTCTCTCCAGGTCGCTGGCAAAGTAGCTAGCCTGGCTCATGACCCAATGGCTCCACCTGATGGGCTGCGCCCTCTGCAGATGCGTGTATCCCGGCATCAGCACATCCATCTCCGCCTCCGCGCGGCCCACATGCGCCTGCAGCAGCTCGGCCAGCGCGCCCTCAATCTCGTCCAGCGCCGCGCGCAGCCAGATGCGCATGTCGGTCGCGACCTGGTCGTTCCTGCTGCGCCCCGTGTGCAGCTTCCCGGCGATCTCGCGCCCGACGAGCTCGCCGAGACGCCGCTCGTTGGCCGTGTGGATGTCCTCGTCGGTGCCGTCGGGCGCGATCGTGAAGGTCCCGGTGAGCCATTCCTGCTCGACGAGCGCGAGCCCGCGGAGCAGCTCGGTGCACTCGTGGCCGTTGATGATGCCGCGTTGGTGTAGGGCTTTGGCGTAGGCGCTGGAGCCGATGGTGTCGGCGGTGTGCATGCGCTTGTCGTAGTGGATGGACTCGTTGTAGATGGTCATGAGGGGGTCGACCTTGCCTGGGGGGGGGGTGTTAGTGGGGGGGCATTGAGGGGGCATTGAGGGGGCATTGAGGGGGCATTGAGGGGGCATTGAGGGGGCATTGAGGGGGACTGGGGGAGCATGAGGGAGCGTACCGGTAAAACGGCCACCCCAGAGTTTTGCAGATGCCATTGAGTGTGGTGGTGTGGTGGTGGTTTGGGTGCTTTTTCTTGTGGTGGTGAGAAGTGGTGATGGTGATGCGGTGGCCCAAATGATGGATGGGATGGTTGGTTGAGATGGAGCGATGGAATGATGGAGGGGACTTGTGTGGATTGGTGGGGGGGCAGGGGACGCTAGCTTGGAGTGCCCCGCCTTTTGCCAAGCGTCACGGCATGTCACTCGGGGTAATGATCGTTTTCTGCTTTTTTGCGTTGTTATTCGGAGTGCAGTCTATGAGAATATCGTACTGTATGGCAAACACGTATCTATCAGGTCTTGCCATAGTAATAACAACAAGTAGCAAAGACCGCAGAAAATGATATTTTTGGCTGAAACACTGGCCGCATTACTTGGCGCCAGCTTACAGGTTGTGATAGGGCCAAGGGAATAAATCCTCCTAACGGTCCTGATACCGCAGTTTCTGTTTGTAACACCCTTACCGACATATCCACAACCACAAACCCCCGAATATCGCATCTCCAATGTCACAATTAAAGTTCCTACAGATCGAGACCAAGTTTTCAGGGCCAGTCAGTGATGGGCGATGTTCTTAATCCTTTCTATGTTACATGTAATCAAAGACATAACACCAGATCTAGTCCAGTATATAACAGGCTGCTAAGCATCTCCGGCGCACCGTAGCCACCCCAACGATACCCAGTGGGGGCGCCCTAACAGTCAGTTGCGCTCACGTCTATCTATCTATCAACCCAGCCAGCACATTACTCCACCCCACCCCACCCACACTACCTCACAATCTTCAACGTCTTCACCTTAAACCTAAAGTTCGCATTATTCATGACCTCCGCCTCCCTTCCATCGCCCGTATACTCCTCCAGATGCAGCAGCTCACTGCGGAACGGCCACGTCTCCCACGCGCGCGTGATCTCGACGAGCTCGTCGGCCGTCAGCGTGCGCGTGCGCTGGTCCGGGTTGATGTGCACGCCGGCCGCAAGGTTGTCGAGGATGTACTCGCCGCCGGGCGCGAGCGTGGCCAGCGCGGAGCTGATGGTGTGGGCGCGGAGCAGGAAGAGCGTGCGTAGCAGCCAGTTGAAGGTTTCCCAGGTCTGGTCGCGGGAGTTGAGGTCGGGGTTGCGGAGGTGCGGGTGGAGAAGCTTGGGGGTGAAGTCGAGGAGGGCGAGGGGGGTCTAGAAGGGGTTAGTGGTGGGGTTTTTATGGGGGGCTATGTGGGGGGGTGTTACTTCGGGGTAGAAATCGCTAGACTGGACCGTGATCGGCTCAAACTCGCGGCGGTGGAACTCGAGCAGCTTATTCTCGTAGCTGAATATCTCATCCTCCTTGATATCGCACGCACTATCCTTCCCCCCACTGCTATCCCAATGCCTATTATAATCCGCAATCAACTTCTCCACCTCCTTCCCCTCCGCCTTCGGCGGCGGCGCCGTCTCCTCCAGCCGCTCCAGCGACTCAAAGAGACTGTCGTCCAGCTTGACAGCACGCATGTTCTTCCCCAGCCGCGTGGTCTCGATGCCGCCCTCGGCCAGGCTCATCTTCTTCTTCCGGACCAGCGTCTCGGCGAGCCCGTGCAGATCGTCCTTGTAGTACCACGCCGGGTGGTCCATGCCCTCGATCCGCATGCCGTCGGTCGCCGGGTCGCTGAAGTACTCGGTGAGGCGCGCCGTGAGCCGGCGGACGCTCTCCTTGTGGCTCTTGTCGAACTCCTTGATCTTTGCGAGCAGGATGGAGAGCACGTGGGTGTGCGCCTCGGTGAGGGCCTCGGCCTGCAGGGCGCGCACGAGCTCGCGCAGCTCGCGCAGCTCGGTGTGGTGGCTGATGCGCTGGGCTGTGGGGATGTAGTGCTCTTGTAGCGCGGAGAGGGTGTCGACGATGAGCGGCATGGTGATCTTGAGGGCGCTGGCGGGGTTGGCGCCTCTTTCGAAGCGCTTTATGAGCTTCTCGAGGGGCTGGTCTGTTCCGGAGTCTATCTCCTCTTCCTCCTGGTGGAGCTTCTCTTCGGGAGAGGGCGCGGGGGGCGCGGGGGGTGCGTCGGCCTTCTCTGGGTTTTCTTCTTTCTCCGCCTCCCTCACAGGTTTCATCCTCTTCCCCGCCCCCTTCGGCCGGCCGCGCTTCTTCGGCGGCGGCGGCGCCACCACCTTCTCCACCGGCTCAACCACCAAGTTCCCGTCCACATCCGTCTTGAACACCGACGCCTTCGGATGGCCCCTCCCCGTCGTGATCGTGTTCGAGCTCGCCACCTCCGTCACATCGCACACGGCCTCGGCCATGACCGTGGCCCTAATCCTGCTCGCCACCGTGCGCGGGATATACCTGACCTTCGTCTCGTCGAGGATCCACGTCAGGAAGCGCACCCTCCCATACGTCATCAGCCAGCGCTCGCGCGGGATCGTCGCGATCAGCTGCGCCAGCAGCCGGTTGTTGAGCATCTCCGTCTCGGACAGGTTGCCCGTGAAGATGATGTCGGTGTTGACGCCGTCCTCGGGCGGCACGGTGCGCGGCGTGAGATTGGGGTAGTCCGCCGGCCACTTGGGCGGCGGCGCGGTCAGCCCGAACATGTTCATGTAGAGGTTCCAGCGGTCGCCGTGCTCGGGGAGCCAGTAGGTGTTGGGCCGCGTGGATTGGAACTGGTCGATCCAGGGCTTGTAGGCCGTCTCGGGCTCGAGCAGGATGTGGGCGCGAGGTTTGAGGGCGTCGTGCAGTGCGGCGGACCATGTGCAGATGCCGGGGGACATGTCGATGAGGATGGGGTTCTTGTAGGCGCTCAGGTCGAGGCGGGAGATTGCTTGTTCTGTAGGTGGGGTGGAAGGGGGGCAGTCCGTCAGTGGCGGTGGTGGTGGGGAGGGAGGGAGGAGGGAGGATGCTAGATACCGCAGAGTTTGGGGGAGACGATGTTGACGGCGCGCTTGTGGGGGGACTTGAACAGGCCCGGGAGCTGCTTTGTGAGCGTGCCCGAGAGCTGCTTTGTGAGCGTGCGCGAGGCAGCCTCTGTGATTTTCCGCATTGTAGATGTAGACTTTTTTTTGGGGGGGGGGAACTATGAGGATATGGGGGGTATAGAGAAGAGAAGAGAAGGGAAGTATCACATGTAGAGATGGTAGTGGGCGTGGAGGTGAGGTTGTGAGTGTGTGTGGTGGGGGGATTCGACTCGGCGGTGGAATGGTTTTCCCGATAAACTTTTTTCCGAGATTCTTCTTATCCTCACGTGACGTGATGACAAAGCGGGCGTGCCGAGAGGTGCATGGTTACACAGCTACATGTAGTATTCAGCTATTGATGGTTGTGATTGCGGGCCGCACACACAGCAGCTTGAAGAGAGAAGAGAGAGGAGAGAGAGGAGAGAGAGGAGAGAGAGGAGAGAGAATGGAGAGAAGAGAGAGAATGGAGAGACTGCAGCCGAGTCGGTTCTGGTGCTGTGATCATTGGCATCAGCTATTCGTGTCGGATTACGCACGCTGCACAGCTGTGCTTGGCAGCGTGGGGGGATCGGCGAGGGGGAAGAGAAGGAGCGGGAGAGAGAGGAGAGGGAGGAGAGAGAGGAGAGGGAGGAGAGGGAAGAGAGGGAAGAGAGAAGAGAGAAGAGAGAAGAGAGAAGTGAGTGCTGTGAGGGAGAGAGTCTACAGAGTACTGCGGGAGAGAGTCTTGTATGTCACAGTGAGAGAGAGTAGTACATGTAGTTGGTGCTGTGTGAGGGCAACGACATCCATCCATCTCTCTCTCTTCTCTCATCTCTCATCTCTCACCTCTCTTCCCTCTTCCCTCTTCTCCCATCTCTCTTCTCTCATCTCTCTTTCTTTCTCCTCTTCTCCGTGCTGCTGCTGTGCTTGCTGTCTTGCTGTCTTGCTGGCTTGCTGGCCTGCTGCAGCGTTCCTTCTTTCCTCCCTTCCCTTGCTGGCGACGATCGATCTCTGTGCATCCATCAACCAACACCTGGCTGGGCAGTGAGGGCAGCAAACAGGCACACATCCCACATTCTTCTCTTCCTCCTCATCCTCCTCCTCCTCCTCATCCCTCCCCTCTTGTTCCCGTTCTTCCATCCCTCTCTCGCCTACAGCAGAGACATCTCCAGAGACATCTCGAACGAAGGAGTCACGGAGGATTGTCGTCGTCGTCAGCCCTGCACCCCCACCACAACTACACCTGCAGCAACTAGAACTGCAACTACTACAGCTGCTACATCACCAGTACAAACACCACCACCACAGAAACAATGGACTACCTTATGGACACCAGCACGCACTACATCGACTCCCCGCCGCTCTCGGTCCAGGAGATTGTCCGCAAGGCCGAGGACTTTGACTACAACCCCCTCGTCCCGCTGCGGCACTGGCTCCGCACCGCCGACACCCTGCTCAAAGAGGTTCGTTCCCCTGTTGTACTGGTGGTAGCAGCAAAAAGAGGAAGAAGAGAAGAGAGAGGCATGGACTTACACAGAGAGAGAGCAGGCAATCATCTACCAAGAGGAAGGAAACGAGCAACGCGCCTACCTCCTCCTCGTACGAATGGCCGAGTCCGTAACCCCCTCCCCCCCCCCCCCACCCCACTTCTACACACCCCTCCGTAATACTAACAACACATGTACCAGACTCCTCGTCAACTACCTCCCCAAGCACCCCCACTACCGCCACCCCGAGTATGCCCGCCACGTCGCCCACAGCAAACCCAGTCTCCGCGAGGCCCTCACCCGCCTCGAATACCTCCGCCCGCGGGTCGCAGCCCGCCACGCCGCCTACCAGCGCGCCCTCGCCCGCCGCGCCTCCTCCACCTCCTCTTCCTCCTCACGGCATCCCAGCACCGATTACGACCTCGGCATCAACCTCACCCGCCGGCAGCAGGGCAGCGGCGCCACCGCACTCGAGGAGTTTGAGCGGCGCGAGCACGAGAAGCGGGCGCGCCGCGCCGAGCAGCAGGGGCGCAGCGTCCCCGTCGATTCGCGCGGGAGGGAGATCCGCAGGGTTGCGACGCCGGTGGAGGATGCGTGGAGAAGGCGCTTTGTCCCCGAGGGGCTCGAGAGATATGATGGCGACGTGGGCACCGGATATGCGTTCGGCGATATGAGCGGCCGCGTGCCGCCGCCATCGTCAGAGAGGAGACAAACGGATGAGGAGATTGCGAGGCGCGAGCAGCAGATGGAGGTTGAGGCGTACGGGCTGGCGCAGAGTATCGAGAGGCTGGACATGGGCAGCGGGCTGTCGCAGCGGCAGATGCAGCCGCAGGGATACGGCGGCGGCATATGGGGCGAGCGGGAGCGTGAGCGTGAGCGAGACCGTCAGCAGGAAAGGGAGCAGCGAGTCGGCAACTGGCAAGGAAACTACCCCACCGTACCCAAGCGCCGGACATCCCCCATCCGCCCCATCGACCTCCCCCCCTCCCTCATCCCCGGCATCGACATCCGCAGCGTCACGCCCACGCCCACGCCCCCACCCCCCCCAAAACCAACCTACTATACCATGCCCACCCTCCCACCCCCGCCCCAACCCGCGCCCTACCCGCCCTACCCGCCCTACCCGCCCTCCCCTCGCGCCCCCTCCGCCCCCGCCCTCCCCACCAAAGCCCCCGCGGCCCCCGCCAAAAAGCACGCCACCACCGACTTCCAATTCACCACTCCGGCGACGCTGGAAAACGGCACACCCCTGCGCACAATCTTCCTCCCCTCCGCGCTGCGGACCGAGTTCCTCGCCGTGGCGTCGCCCAACACGCGCAAGAACCTCGAGACGTGCGGCATCCTGTGCGGCACGCTGATCCAGAACGCACTCTTCATCAGCCGCCTCGTGATCCCGGAGCAGGAGGCCACGAGCGATACGTGCGGCACCACGGACGAGGAGGGCTTGTTCCAGTACTGCGATAGCGAGGAGCTGATGGTGCTTGGGTGGATACATACACATCCGACTCAGACGTGCTTCATGAGTAGTGTGGATCTGCATACGCATTGCTCGTACCAGCTGATGCTGAGGGAGAGTATTGCGATTGTGTGTGCGCCGAGACATGAGCCTTCGTGAGCTTTTCTGTCCCTTTTTTTTTTTTTTTTTGTTTTTGTGGGAGGTGAAGAGTGCTAATGGGGTGTGTGGGGTATAGGTGGGGTGTGTTTAGACTTACAGATCCGCCCGGTGTCAAGACGATCATGAATTGTAGGCAGAAGGGCCTGTTTCATCCGCACGAGGAGCGGAGCGTGTATACGGATGCGATGAGGCCGGGGCATGTGTGTGAGGTCAGGGAGATGGGCTTTGATGTTGTCGACTTGAGGAAGAGCCAGTATTAGGCGGTGGGACAAAAGTTGGGACGCTTTTTTTTGTGTGTGTGTGTCTGTGTTTTGTGTGTTTTGTGTGTGCTTCTTCTTGTGCTTTTTTGTGCTTGTGATAGGTCTTTTTTTTTTATAAATTTTTTGCTCTTCTGTGCGTGTGTGGATTTTAAGGGCGTTATGGAGGGTGGTTTTTTTTGCTATACTTGTGTTTTGGTGGATTTTACTTGATTGCTTGGGAAGATGATATCGGTTTTCTTTTTTTCGTAGCATCTCTTTATCTCTCTCATATTTTTTTTGATACTACTAGCTGCTGCTATTTGCTACTTGTACCGCTATGGTGCTAGCTGTGGATCCTACACTACAGCTCGTGGCCTTGATTCCCCCCCCCCCTCCTTCCCCTATTCCCCACCGAAGACATAAAAGAAGAAAAACGACGGCGAGTGTACGATTGTGCTTGTGCTTGTGTTTGGGGGTCTGTTCCTGTTCCTGCATCTGTCTTACATGTCGATCTAGCTAGATCTAGATAGATAACCATATATCGCATCTCTGATCTTCACTTTGAGTGTTGTGGAGGGGTGTTTAGGGCGGGCATCATGGGGTGTCACTCGGTGCTAAGAAGCACTTATAAACGCACCGCATCAACCTGCCCCAGGTGTTACAAGTACGCCTGGAGATGTGTGGAGGAGATGGTGGTGTGTAGAATCGGCTCCACCGCGAACCGCCGCGGCGCGGCGCGGTACGGGCAGCAAGTACAGTGCGGGTGGGGCGTAGATGGTCGTATACTAGCGTTCCTGTAGGCTATTGGAGAGGTGGGTTGGCGCTATACTCGGATGCTGCTTGCTGGGTGCGTGTGTGTTAATCTTCGTCCCTAGTACTCTGTCTTGAGACGACGGGGAGGAGGTGGCATTGGTGTATGTATGTATGTATGTATGTATGTATGTATGTCTAATATGTACTGCCCTTAATTCTGCGAACCTACTCGCCCTCTGATTGGCCAAGAGCGGAACCTAACCCTGACCTCTGCGTGGCAACGGGCTCACCCAAAATGCCACGGAATGTCAAATTCAACCGCGGCACTATTATCAAAATCAAAAAAGACCCCAAGAGGTACGTTTTGGGTGGTTATAGTATCTCTTCTTTCATACACAAAAAAAGAACAAAAAGTACTGTGCGGTTCCGGGATGAACTGGCACTACTCCCACCCCTGGGTCGAACCCTGGCCTTCTGTGATCGAAAGCAGGGCTAAACCTCGCGGTGTTCTTTGGCGAGGGTTAACCGTTAGACCACTCGCCCATGTGTGTTGGTGGCTAAAAATGATATTTGTGCGCCAAGGATGGTTGGCTAGTATGTATGTATGTATGTATGTATGTGGGAAGACCTTTCTGTATAGCCGCGAAGGGCCTGGGAGTAGCTTTGGTACTACTTTGTAAGTTAGAACGGCCGCTAGCTCGTAATCTCTCGGCCGCGCCATGGGAGGGGGGGTGCGGATATACCGAGCCTTGAGACTCGGCCGACGTGACCATATACACCCCCCCCCATCTAGGGCTTGTGTGTGCTTGCTGGAAACAAGGAGGAAAGAGCTCTGCCTGTACTCAGACTGGAAGAGCAACATCTATAGTCTCCTCCTCCTCCTCCTCCTCCTCCTCCTCCGCCTAAAACGCAGTTGAAAAGCCAGATCATGAAATATCACTCGTCACGCACAACCCGCCATTCGCAGCCGGAAAACCCGAGTACACTCACTTCTTGTGTTCAAATTAAGCCAGCAGCCGATATAGCCAAAAGAAGCTGTAGTTGTAGAGGATAGAGAGAGACCCTAATCATCCGGGCTGGGCCAACTGCCTTCGGTCGTGTCCTAACTATAGGCGAAAACACAATACACGTTGATTGCTTTTTGGGGGATGAATCTTTGTAGGGAAAAAAAAAAAAAAAAAAAAGAATATGGAAAAGGTCTAAAATGACACAGTTCGTTCCTCCTTCTCCAGGGGAATCAAAAATCAAAGTGGCCTCCTAATTTATTCCACTAAAAAAAAAAAAAAAAAAAAAAAAAAAAAAGAGAAACAAAAAGTACTGCAACGACTTACTGATTAATGTGCGTTACTAGTACTCCCACCCCCGGTTTGAATTACTCAGGACCTTGCCCAATTAAACACTCGGTGTCTAAGCCGGCGAGCAGTCTAGATATTAGACTACTCGCCCATGGTGGACGCTGCGCTGGAAATGATACTTGAGCTTGGCAGTGTGCCAAGATGGAGCAGGACCCCTAATCCTTCGATGTCAATGCTCAGCCATCTGTAATTATTTTAATAGCTCGATTACATTCTTTTCATAGCGACCTGTGTCATCTTGCATCATGTGTTATTGTAGAGTACGTCTACCGAAAACTGTGTTATTTAGACCTTGTCTGAAAAAAGAAATTTCTATCTTTGAAAAATATTTTTAGTTGAGTTGCCTCTTCCCTTCCAACCCCCCCACCCCCACACCCCACCCCGGGTTATGTATCTTGTAAAATTTCTTTCCCGGGCTGACATAACCTGTATATATAACTACATGTAGTAATTTACTATATAGCCCGAATAGAAACCAAACAGCTGGGGCCGTTAAGCCTTCTGCTTCCTAACCTTTAGCGGGTCGAAGAGTTGAAGATTCATGATTTACCATAGCACTCTTAAATTTGTGCTGCTTCTTTTTTATGGGGCCTTACACGCTACGTATACAGTAATGCCAACCATTGGACCATTCTGAGCTAAGCGCCCCCCCCTCTCCTCTCCCAAATCCCTCTCTGTTTTGCAACCTTTTCTCTCCAGTTGACATGATCTAGATATACTATTTCAAAAACAGCCTATTACTTTACGTACACCTGAAAGGGGCAGGCCGCGTTGTAGACCTGGTTCTTTCCCTTCATTGGACTTGTCGGTAGCAGATCAAGTAGTTGAGAGTGATTTCCCGCTGGCTGCTTGCTGGCCTCTAAGACCGGGCGTAGACTCCCGTTTCTTGCGCGTCCAAGTCTTGTTGTAGAAAGCGTGAGAAGGTGGTTGCTCGATGGTCTCTTTCTGGATCTTGGATCCTCCAGATCTAGACTTCTGTATTACTATGCCCCCGTAGCTTGAGGTACCTGGTTGGGTTTCCCTCCTTCGATGCCCCTACATCTCCCCCTTCTCTATTTTCATGGCTTCTTTCTTTTATAATCTGACTCAACGTAAAGATACAGTCCCTGCGGTTAGTATAGCCCACGTAGATATTGAAAGCCACGGGACCAGTTTGAAAGCTTGCTGCCTCCTCGCCGTTGGCTTTTGGGTCTTTGGCGGACTGAGGAGCTGATTTTTTTTTTTTTTTTTTGGGGGGGGGGGGTCAACACTGCTCGTTTTTCTATTTTGGCTTATTTCTTGAGGGTTCCGTACCTCGTCAAATATTGAATCGTTTAGAGTGCCGTTTCGATTTAAATTGATTCGACGGGTTTTATGGTTTGAATAGTCCCATGCTTTTAGGGGCATTTTAGTACTGCACTCCCCCTAAGTTATTCAATCCTCGCTACCAACTTCGCAAGCAATCCCATGGCAGAAATGATAGTACAGCCAAGGGTATTGTAACAGAAGGCCAAAAAGCAGAAATCGTTATCCAATTAACCTGTCTCATCTTCTGGCTACATATTCTTAATGTGCAAGCAATCGATCCTAAATCGTATTGAATCTGAGGGCACTTAATTTCAACCTGACTATCAATTATTGGAAATGATTGAAAACTCAAGACTTCCTCCGACCGACCTGCATGCATCCATCCCCTGCAAGCTTGGCTGTTAACTAACCCTGTCGAGTGAGGTAGCCAACCAGCCAGCCAGCCAGCCAGTTACCTGAACCCCCCCACTAACTAACCTTCAACACCTCAACACGTCTCCCATCTATCATCTATCTCAACCACCTCACCTCCATCCATCCATCCCGCCAAACTTCTATCTACATCCAGCCCATCACAGCACTCACCATGGCCGACAAAGAGCTCAAGACCCTCCACCAAGCGCTGATCAGCAGCGTCTCCAAGGGCGACTACACCACCGCCTCTCGCTCCCTCTCCTCCCTCAAGATCGCCCTCCTCACGCGCAACGCCCTCCTCCCGGCGCCCAGCACCCCCACCCCCATCCTCCTCCTCGCCCGCGAGGTGCTCGAGATCGGCGCCCTCACTAGCATCCACCAGACCGACGACGCCGCCTTCTCGCGCTACTACTCGCAGCTGCAGCCGTTCTACGAGGACCACCGCCTCAACACGGCGTCGCCCAGCCCGCACCGCAGCAAGATTGTGGGCCTGCACCTGCTGCTCCTGCTGAGCAAGAACGACATCGCCGACTTCCACACCACGCTCGAGAACCTCGAGGGCGATATGGAGAAGGATCCGTTTGTGAGGCATCCGATCATGCTCGAGAGGTGGTTGATGGAGGGGAGCTACGATAAGGTGTGGAATGCGACGAAGAGCTCGCAGATGCCGAGTGAGGAGTATGCCTTGTTCTCACAGGTAAGTTTGTTTTCTTTTCTTGGGATGGATGGACTGGGGATGGATGGGATGGATGGATTGAGCGAATGTAATGTGTCGGGATAGGTCCTCGTCGGAACTATAAGGAACGAGATCGCTACATGCTCCGAGAAGGCATACGCAAGCTTGCCCGTGTCCAATGCGAAGAACCTGTTGTTCTTGGACTCTGACGGCGCAGTCATCAAGTTTGCGCAGGAGGTAGAGTCCCCCCATATTGCTTCACTACGGACGGAATGGAATGCTAATGGCTATTATAGAAAGGATGGGAGGTCAGGGATGGCCGTGTCTACTTCCCGGTCGAGGAGTCCGAGAAGGAAGCTCTGGCTTCTGGCACAATCATCGAAAACACAATCGGCTATGCCCACGAGCTGGAGATCATTGTGTAGATGGCTTTTTTTTCCTTTTACTTAGCGGTTGATTGTAGAAAAATTTGTCACGAAGGGAATGCAGGAATTAGATTGTCTTCCGAATATACTCTATTTTTCTTTTTTGCTTTCACTCCATCTATTTCTAAGTAGTGCAGTAGTAGTCGATCAGTAGTAGCCAATGGTCAAGCAGACCACAAACTCAACCTCTTATCATAAAAGCTGCAACTCACAACCCTCCCATCCGCCGTCACATCACTCCCATAATTCATACTCTCCCCCTCCACCCACCCCGCCACCACCTCCAGCCCCTCCACATCCACCACCCTCGTCCCCGCATGCATACAGCTCGCCAACACCCTCTTCTGCCCCTCCCCCATCCACGCCAACCTCCACACCCCGCCCCCCTCAACCCTCACCTCCCCCACCACCCCCCTCCTCCCGCCCCGCACCTCAAACGCCCTCAACCCCTCATCATAGCTCCCCGTCAACACCGCCCCCTCCCCTCCCACCGGCAGCACCGCCGTCACCCCCGCGCCATGGCTCCTCCGATCCCGCCACGCCTCGCTCCCGCCCGCGACGTCCCACAGACACACAACGCTGTCGTCAGCACCCGAATACACGCCCCGCCCGTCAGGCGTAAACACGCATGTCCACGCCTCAAGCGTGTGCGGCGCCCAGCGCTCCACGACCTCCCCGCTCTCCAGCGACACCGTTGCAACCTCCCCGGTCGATAGCGTCACAGCCAGCGTGTCGCGGCTCGTCGGCGAGAACGTGAGTGACAGCACTAGCACGTCCTCCGGGAATGGCGTGAACAGCGCCTTCAGGGTCAGTGCGCGCTCGGAGAGCGTCCACACGCTGACCTGGCCAAGGGAGTGTGCGAGCGCGAGTGTGTCTGGCGAATGTGGCGAGAACTTCAGGTCCAGGATCGCCTGTGTGGGGTGCGACTGGAGGAGCGTGAAGCCTTCATCGGGGGTGACGGAGTAGAGGCAGAGGTGGCCGGTTTTCTTGGAGGAGAGGTCGGCGGCGGAGGCGTTGAGGAAGTAGGTGCCGAGGGTGACGAGCGTGGGGTCTTGCGGTGAGAATTGGACGCAGGAAGGGGGTTCGGGGGGGTGCGTGGTGTGCGTGGAGGGGGTGGGATGCATGGTGAGTTCTTTCGCGATAGTGGGGTTGTGGGTATTTTTATTTTTATGGGGATACTGACTGACTGGGGTAGAGGTGTTGCTTAATTGGGGCCTTGGCGGTGATATCACCAGCTTGTAATAGCTCCAGGTCTAGATAGCTGCAGCTCTATTCTAGAAGTGCAGTTGGAGACCTTGATTGGTTTTATATATCAGAGCTTTTGCGCAAAGCACAAAGGCTCTAGCTATCAGCTATGAGTGGTTAATAGCTGCTAACTAACAATTAACAGCAAAGATTATCAGTTCGGAGTCGACAAATATCTGGAATACCACAGGTAAAAAGAAAAAGAATATCTCAAACAGCCTAGAGCAGATTTACAAGGCATTTCAAAACTGGGCAGCATAACTCAGAATTTCAATGCTCGGCTTTGGCGATAATAATAGCACAAACTTTGCCCTAAATCAAAAAGCCTAGAAAATCTCCATTCCCAGCCCAGCTTTTAGCAAGAGCTAGTATGGATCCAATAGATTCGATGAGAATCGACTTGAAAACAGCAGTCTCAGACTATCTTTATGGTTATAATGGCGGCATATGTACCGTCGAGTTATTTATCTTCGCGCTTTAAGGCTCATATTCTTGGACGATTTTCAATTTATGCCGAAGGTATTCTCCAGACGACAGGTGAATCAAGGGCACAACCCAACTACAAACTGGAATTTGAACCTTCCAATAATATTATTATAGCTGGAAGTCGATAGTCAACTTTATATCATCCAGGGTAGTTATCACGGGCAGGCATCCATAGAGTAGCCCTATCACCATAATTTGTATCTGCCGCACCAATTTATGCTAGATCTCAGTATCGAAATTTTGAACCAAAGGAGGATCGCTCCAGAACTGCAGTTTCTAGAAAAACACGCAGAACGTTGCGGAGACGGGGTACCTGTACCCTTGTGGCGGGCATAAGATTGCCTCCGGAATTATCACGGCTGCGAACACTCTTTTATGAAGCCGGCCCGGTACGGCAGCAGCTATCCCCCAAACAACGCCTAGGTATTGGCTTGAAAAGCCACTCTTTTCTAGCCCAACTAGAGCAAACCCTCTATAATTCCATCATCAACGGGCCAAATTGCACAATCTGTTTCCTCACATGGAACAGGTATCACAAGTCTCTGGGCCGAGAGAACAACCACACCGCCATAAAAAGCTTCATGGATCATCAAGAAACACTATAATTTTTGTGGCCATAAAAACAAAGATGCAGTTGCAGTCTTAATAAACTGGGCTCTATACACATAGGGAGTATCCTATATAGATCTAGTTAGCACATGAAGCGCATGCTAGGCAATAGCCCATCTACCACTTTGATGATTCTTGCTCACCTTTCCGGGAGGGCTCTGAGGAGGAGGGAGCGGAGAAAAAGGAACGATAACAGAAAGTATAGCGAGCGGGGAAAGGGGGAGATTAGGGAGATTTTTGGGCAACAAGGAGGGTGGAGAGAAAGGAGCAAAGATCAGAATACCCCATGGTTCAATCGCGGAGGGCATCCAACTCTGGCTCCAGTACTGTCAAACTAGCTTATGACTGAATCGAAGCCACCAGTACCGTCACTGTAAGTAGGCATAACCGGATTGAATGTACTAGAGTTACAACTACTGGCTCAATTAATGCCTCCGTTGTTCTCGTCTACAAACCCAGATGGTAGTGTAGCTTTATAATCATAACCTATCACTCGCGCGCCAAGAAACCACCTCCAGTTACTTTCCAGATCACACAAGCAATCGTCACAAGGGTCATGCGACAGACAATAAAAGAAACTAAAAGTGCTTACCGCAGTATTTTAACGTGTGGGTGGGTTGATCTAAAAAATAAAAGAAACAAAAGTACCGGGGAAGTATTAGTAATAACTACTAATACTTCCCCAATACTCCCACCCCGGGACTGGACCAATGACCTGCTGATGGTCATCGAGATTCAAACACTCGGTGTTCCTCCATGACGAGCGGTCTAACACTAGACCAAACTCGCCCACACATTTTTCAATGCGCCGGTAGTACTTAAGGGGGAGGGGGCGGGCGATAAGGCGAGCTAAGGACACCTACATGTACTTGTATGCAGTACTAATAATCTATCACGTTTTCGGCCCATCGACGCCTTGTACCTTATCAATGATTACATGTCCTCTGCCGGTAGAGGAGGTTAGGTGGGGTCAATATGAAGATCAACATTTGAGGGCCCATCTGCCAATAATCTCCATTTACAAAACTTCGTACATGTGCACTCCACTTTTCCTTCCCACCACTAAAAACGCGCACCAATTGAGAATCACAGTGTAGTAGAATCAGAATGTATTCAATATCAATGATTCACATGTATCTATGCCGCTACGCACAAACAAAACAGGCTACAAGTCCCACGCCTCACTATCTAAAGCTCATCCTTCTCCTCTAGGACCACCTTCTTCTCTACCGCCTCCACCTTCACCTCCTTCACCTCCTCCTTCGCCACCTTACTCCTCCTCGCCACCTCCGCAATCTCATCATCATACGCCGTCCACTCCGGCACCTGCCTCCTCGCTCTATCCAGCTTCGGCTCCTTCGTCATCGGGTTGTTACACAGATCGATCGTCTTCGCCGTCTTGAGACTCGCATCACTGCACCATGTCTCACACCACAGCCAGTCCTGCGGTAGCGAGTGGATCGGCAGGATGCTCTGCATGTGGTTGGGCAGATCCTGGTCCAGGTTTGCTAAGCTTGCTGGGTCGGCGGAGAGCTGGTGGTATTGCTGGCGGAGACGGTCACCGGCGGCGATCTGGCGGAAGCGCTTTAGGTCTACGACGTAGAGTGCGCTGTTGAGGTGGCATGGTTAGCTGGGTTTGAGGGTTTTAGGAGGGATGGGACAAACCTAATGTGGTAGGGAAGACCCTTCAGGAATTTAGCCCAGTAGCCTTGCTTCCAGAAGCGGAAGCCTTCAATTTCTTCGCGGGAGTCACACATGGGGGTGAACCCGTATGGTGCGCCCTGGAGGTCAAGGTCTACAAGCTCCTTCATGTCCGTTCTTACGATCTGGTCTGCGTCTACGAAGATGACCTTATCAAGGTCCAGAGGGAAGAGAACATCAAGGAAGAGGATTTTGTATCCCCAGATCTCTCTCTGCTTCTCCTTCTGTGCGCGAAGCCAGTGCGGCCACTTGTATGTGACGAGCTCATACTCAAAGCCATACTCTTTCGCCATTGTTGGGATGAAATCCTACCACTCTGTCAGAACACCGCACATACAACAGCGGATACGGGAGGATACATACCTTAAATGACGGCGACAAGAAGTTCTCGATGAACCAAAACTTAACTGTCTTATCCGTGTGCTTCATAACACTAACCATCATGATATTCAAAAAGCGCTCATAAAGATGTCCACTCGCCACCGAAAAGATATTAATCTCCGCCTGTCCCTTCTGCACCGCCCTCTTTGGCGCCGCCATCAAGCCAGCATCCACCATGATGCCCTCCGCCTTCTTCATCCACTTCTTCGCGAAGCTGCCGCTACTGATCGACTCCTGGTCCAACACATCCTCCTCCAACATTCCCGGCTTCCTTGACAGCCTTGGGAACAACGTTGCGCCCTGGAAGCTCATGAGAGTGATATCACTGTCCTCCTGCTCTTGTTCGCCGGCGCGCGGTAGCATAGAGGAGTATCCGCCGGTGGTGCCAGCAGAGTCGATGTGGAAGATCTCAGACGTACGGCCTTCCTTGAGCCCCATGTTCCAGTGCCCTGGGTTTGCCTTGAACTGGAAGTATCCCAAATTGGCCATGATGATTGTGTCTGCAAACAGCGGCTCCTTCTCTGTACCGAGGACAAGCTGTGCTCCCTTAGGTGGGCCACCGCCAGTGCTGACATCACGGGAGTGACCCTCGATGAGGATGCTGCGGAGCTGGTAAAGAGCTTCGACGTCACTGCCTTGTAGACGGTCCTTCAAGGAGTCAAGCATGAGGTTGTCAAGATCGTAGATACACTCCTCTGGGTTCACAAGCCATGATGGGGGCACGTCCATGCTCAAGGAGAGTAGGATAGCGCCAGGGATATTCTCGAAGCGCGCTTTGGGGTCAATGATATTGCCTGCTTCATCAAACACTGGTTTCGACTCGAGGACATGGCGGTAGAACCTTTTTACTGGAACTTCGGAGATCATGCGCTGTGGGGTAAGGTAGATCTTGAGGTACACGCCGTCCATCTCGCCAAGGACCCTGAGGATCGGGACCAGCTTCTGTGCGCTCTCGCTCGCAGGGTCTACATTGGCGACTACTTGGAACATAGCACTATCCTTATCACCGCTCTCGATAGCGGTGTGCTCATCCTTCCATAGTCTCAGGAACGCATCCGTCCTACCCGTCACCGGTGCTTCGAACAGCCCCGCCGGAACATCAGACGCCATAGTCAGCGCAACCAGGTTCGTAAGGCCAGCTGGAGACTTAATCTTCTTCTCCATCACGCCGAGATCTTGAGCTGCGTTAAGAACAGGCGCAATACGGCGTGACAGCTCATATTCAAGCAGCTGTTTGAAATCATCGCCTACAAAGTCTTCATTTCTAGGGATGGGGCCAATGACACGGCCATTGACCACCAATCCGCGTTCTCCGGGCTTGAACCCGCACTTGTCTGCCAGGACCCGAGCGCTCTCCCAGAACTTACTGGACTCCATGTGGGTGGGATAGGTCCATCCAGAAGCTTTAACATCTGCTTGAGACCCCACTAAGGCCTCAACCTTGGGCAGGTCAACGAAGTCTTGTACTGGTTTCACTTCTTCGAGTAGCTGTTCAAGTCTCTCTGGGGAAGTGAAGAAACCGACCTGCTGCAGCTGATGTAACAATGTTGACAGCGTGTGTGTGCTCGCGGACAATTGAGGGTTATTGATAAGCACCAAATCCACGCCCGAAGCCTCCTTCTGTAGCTCCATAGCTCCCTGAAGTAGCTGGTATCCATCTTTCTCGTCGAAATCTCCCACAACCCAGATGGTAGCTGCCTCAAGTGGCGCTGGCTTATCCGTAGAAATCCTGGGCAAGTCCTTCATGATATCCGCATGCGCAGACTCCAACTCGACCAGATTTACAAGACTGACCGAAGCCTCATCTTCCGGAACGATATGTGTATTGCGCCTGATCACAGCACCAGTCATGAGGAGACCCGTGATATCACTGTTATCGTCGATAAGCTCTTCATAGACCGCGCGCTGCGTCACCTGTACATCTGCCTGTAGCTTCGACGCCATATTCTGCATCCAAGCCTCATCACGCGGTAATGATTGACCGTTGATGAACACCGGCGGGGCATTCGGGTTCACGCCTAGGCGACTGCCCCAGCTCTTCGCCTTTGCATGCCATGCCTCGACATCCTCATTCGTCAGGATCTCTTCGAGCGTAAGCACCGGCTTCTCCTTCCTCGGCGATGCATCTTTCAGGACGTTCTTGAACACTTTGGCACTCGGCTTGCTGAAGTCTGTATTCGCGAGTGACTCGTGCACGTATCGAAGGGCTGCGGCGAGACCGTAGGTGTTCTTGAGATGGTAGAATACTTTGGCTTGGGCGATGGCGGAGTCGGTCTTGCCGAGTGGGACGACACCGAAGCGGATTGCGATCTTACGCTCCACGAACATGCGTAGCTGCTCCGAGAGGAGGACGAGGTCATCGCGGGAGGTGAGGTCAACGGGGAGGACAAGGTGGTGGATGTTTTTGCGGAGGGGGTGGAGCTGGCCGGGGTAGATGCGGCGCATGAGCTGTGTATGTCAGTACGTGGATCTTAAGCTTGTGGATAGAATGGGGAAAGCTGTGTTATACATACCACAGACACGGACGAGGACCAGTCCTTGTACCGCTTGTCTTTCTCAAGATCGTTGAGCCAGACGATGACGTTCCCGCCATCGATATCGTCCCTGTAATCGAACCTCTGTGGCAGCTCCGATAGCTTCGAATCGGCAATGATATGGTGACTGACGAGCTGTACCGCCTCACTATTATTCAATCCCAGTGCGGTCAAGCTCCCAACATGCTTCCTCTCGTTACGCAGATGCTCCAAGAGCGCAAACGCATTGATCTGGCTCTCGGCCAGCTGCACTCCATTGATCCACAAGCTATTCTGCCCCACCGCCGAGAACGCTTCCCTATTCTCCCTAAGCTCATTGAGCATCTCAAGATTCTCCTCAATGTGCCCGATACGTCCCGAGTGCTTTGGGAAGTCCTGGAGGAACTTCTGCAGCGTGCTGAGGGGGTCCTCGGAGTTCATGATGAACGATGCAGCATGGAGACCGAGGTCTGGTAGACTCTTGGGGTGGATAGGTGTGATGTGTTGGATCTCCTCGTCGTCGAGTGCGGGTGCTTCGGAGTCGGACTTGCGCTCTTCGGTGGAGCTGTCCATGTCGCGGTCGTCCATGACAATGTAGTCCGTTTTCTTGAGAGCTAGCTCCACACCATAGCCGCTGAGCATTACGGGGCGGTCCTTGCGTGTGGGCGAGGGACGGTGACGGACACGGTATGATATCTTGCCGACATTGGCGAATTCCTTCAAGATCTTGTGGTGCTCTTTGAACGCAGGTGATAGGATATCCGCATATAAGATTGCCGCCGGCACATCATCTTTCGACCCCAACACTCGGTCGAACTGTAGCTTCCGTCTCTCACTAAAACCCCGCCACCAGTTAGCCCATTGCCCCACTACAAGTTTCCACTCCCTTTTTCGAGCAAAACTTACTTCGGATACCTCTCCCACGACCCCAACATATCCTTATAATCCCCCGTCGTGCTACAAATCTGCTTATGGCTCCACTGCAGCCACGTCTCGCACCCTGGCTTGTACAGCTTCCCCATCTGCGGCTCCAGCTGGTTCTCGTAGTAGTGATAGTGCGCCTCGATCCGCGGCGCCGCCGCATGGATGCTCAGTGCGAGATTGAAGCTCGCAAGCTCAACCGCGTCCTTCAAGAACCCTTCCTCCTGCACAGCGCGGAGGAACGACTCGTAGAGCGCCTTGTCAGAGGATACGTTTGAGAACTCGCCGGTTGCTATTCGGTCGAGGAGCGGGTAGTAGGAAGCTTCATTTTCGTCGGCGGCGGTTTCACTAGCTGTGCGTTAGCTAGTGTGGACTACTAACCCATGATTGCGGGGGTTGGGGGAGTATTTTGCGGGGAAAGGGTGCTTACAGTAGCTCGATAAGGAACGGTGCGCCGTTCCAGGAGGCTTTGAGACCGACATTGACAGCGGGGCTGCAGAGGGCCAGGCGGAGGTATGGCGTCAGGAGGAGCAGTCCCGTGGGGAGGCTTCTCCGGAAGTCTGTCAATCGCATCCTGCCGAGTTTATAACTTCAAACAGGAAGCTGCTTACTTTAGTAAAAGATTTAGGTGCCTTCGAATTGAGCTTCGTTGATATGGTGTATGTTTCTTCAATTCATGGGCCTCTGGTCTGTATATCTGTCCAAGTGTGGGCTTCCAATCCAAATGTTCCACGGCGGGACGAGAAGGAGGCTGAAAGGGCGCCAAGACCTTTGAGGCCACGCTTGCATTATTAGGGCTTTAGTTAGTTGGTTGGCAACAACGGATTGAGGCAGAGGCAGAGGCAGAGGTGGGGTTAATGGGAGGCCTGGAGCCGGCTGGAGGGGCGAGTGAGTGCCCTTTGTATATCACGACTTGGAGAAGCACTACTCTGCACAGCGTACTGTGTAGCTGTTTTAGTAGAGATGGAACTGGATCCTCTAGCAACGACACGACAATTAATAGGCGAAAGTGTTTAAAACCGCCACAAGTCATAAATATTTAGAAGTTACGTATATCTAACGCTAGTATTTACTGTCTTATCTCGATACATACCCTCAATTGAGAATGCGTTCCCCAGGTGGGGGTTGAGAGCCGAGTGATATCCTATGACGGTAAAACCAACTGTCAAGCACTCCTGCAAAGTTTTTCATACCTATATATCAAAGACCAAGTTTCTTTATTTAGACAAGTCATTCAGAGCACCGTATCACTACGGATGCTCAAGAATGTACCTGTAAGAAACACACCACAGGTCAAGTGTGGTCGCTCTCAAGTATATAGGAATGGCTGCGTTGCAAAGGTACTTATTTCACCGCCAGACTTTATTTTTTGGCGAGTAGTTAACTCTTCTGATATGAAAACTTCTCTTCAAGGTTGTTTGTTATCCGTCACAGGGCATCACTTGGCTGCGTGAGACACTCCCGCGCGGCCCGAGAAGCCATCTCTACCGCGCGCGCCTCAGTTGATTCACCATGAATCCCGCCAAGTTCAAGAGTTGGTCCTAGCAGATCATAATGCACTCCATAATACCTCCCCTGATCCTCTACTGCAGCTCTCAAACCAGTTCTCACTACTCTACCAACGGAATTAAGCAGCCTAAAGTACTCTCTTAGTCTACAGGCTAGGCAACAGTCCCCAAAGAAAACCCTGACTGTCACGCCCAGTCAAAACAACGTAGTCTTGATGTAAGGGGACAGATGTGGAACGCCAGCCTTCCAAGCAGAAGTACTGCTACATGTACGTGCAGGGTTCACACGCCATCACTCGTCGCCCGCACCAATCACCACCCCCAGGAACCCGCTCCTCAATCCCACAAGTAACGAGACAAGGCTTATCGAGGTATTCGCCCGGACCAAAGTGAGGAAAGAGATAATCGATCTACACCGCTAAATAACAATCAAGAAACTCCAGATCTCCCTACCCCGGCGATCACCGCCGATCATTACCGCAAGCCCTCCTCATCGTCATATTCAGTGGAGTGCCTTGGCCCATGTCACATGGCCGGCACCGCTTGGCAGGGTCTCTTGAAAAGATTGTCTTCTTTATGAGTTCAGTGCCCCATCCATCCCTCACATCTCTTTGTCACCGCTACTCACACACTCTGAGCCCTTTGTCACTCTACAAGACACCCCACGATACCTACATATACAAGCAAGCACAATGAGCGCAACATTCTTAAACATGCCCTCCCCGCAGCTCGCCACCCCCTACTCCGAGAGCCCCTCCGCTCCAGGCACGCCCATGTCCGGCATCTCCACCATCGCCATCAAAGACGGCCACGAAGGCCACCGCCCCAGCGGCGACACCGTCTCCGCCGCCGACCGCATCTCCCGCCTCGGCGGCTACTTTGACCAAGCACGCAACATCACCTCCTACACGCCTACACCTACATCATCCCCCGCCACACCCTCGCCCGCGCCGGGGACAACTCCTGGCGAGAGGAGGAGCCCCGCGAGTAATGCGACGGGCAGCACCATCACGACAGAGGAGGCGCTGAGGGCGACGAGGGAGGCGAAGATGATTGATGGAATGACTTATGATGAGGGCGTTGTGGATACGACGGATAGGACGCCGGTACTGGTGTTGAATAGGGAGAATGAGAGGAGGAGACCTGTGGTAAAGGAAGGGCTAGTGCTGGCACGCGGAGAGGAGGCGCAGAAGAAATTATAGTGGTGTGCTCTTTTTGCTATTTACCAGACGAATTTCCTTGGATGTGGTGGTTGGCAATTGGATGGGGGTTGGTTGAGTTGAGCAGCTTATCGCGGTGACGTCATGCTGCGGATATAGCTTCTTTCTTTTTTTTTTTATTACTGATGTGGGTATATCTGATGTTCTCGTTCTGTATTATGATACGACTTTTTCTCCTTTTCTCTAAATACTGTATGATATTTTTTCTTTGAGTAATTTCATCCAAGGAGTTGATTTTATCTGCCTGCTTTCTCTGCCAGTGTTGTCCAAGTAAAATTCTGGTGTGGTGTGTGGAGTGAAAAGTGGAGTCTGGGGAACGCCGTACCCCACACCGCCGGAAATCCGGGGTGCAGGCGGCTAATGTACTGATACCTACTGCACACAACTGTGGGGGGGCTTACCGCGATGGGGTTGGCCCCAGACGTCATGCGCGCGGCGATAAGTGCGACTGCGGGGAACTTGAGACTTGAGAGCTGAAGGAGACGATTGAGATTGAAGTGAGGGTGTAATTGAGACTTAGGAAGGCAAGGGCATACATAATATCAAGAGAGCGTTTATATAGCAATGCATACCAATCGATCTACCTGTGTGGTCCCAGTGGTGATAGCCACCAGGTCGATAAGGGCCGGCCGGTACTATCTAGCTAGGTGTCAATGATCCACAGCACCCAAACATGCAGCATCACTCGAGCTCTTCCATGGCCAGCTGCATGTAGCTAAAATATCACCCAGTCCTAAATTGTTCACAAACACTCAATCGGTCAGTCAGTCGACGGTCACCGAAGAAGGAAGGTTTCTGTCTCTTCTGTTCCCTGTCACCCCGCGTGTAACCGATGCTTACCGGAGGCTCTGGGCCCGAGTGACCTGAGCTTCAACTTCTTCTCGTGAGAGCTCAGTCAGAGGAAATAGATACCCAGTCACAATGTCGTTAGCAAACACCGCAATGGCCCGCAGCTTCACCCGTTCGCAGAAGGTTAGTAGTAGTTCTTCTTTAAATATCAAGCTCTGATACTGACCCTCCACAGCACCTGCTCCTCTTCCGAAGCTTCAGTTCCACCCCCCACCGTCGAGAAATCAACAAAAGTACCCCTCTCCCTCCACCCCCGCCCCTCTCTTCTTCCTCCCACTAACACCCGCCAGTCTACCCCTCTGCCGCGGCCGCCATCCACGACCTCAAATCCCACAGTACCCTCCTCGCCGGTGGCTTCGGCCTCAGCGGCGTCCCCACAACTCTCATCTCCGCGCTCGAGTCCACCCCCCACATCACGAACCTCACCGCCGTCTCCAACAATGCCGGTACCGACACTCACGGCCTCGGCCGCCTCCTCGCCTCGGGCCAAATCACAAAAATGATCGCCTCCTACGTTGGCGAGAACAAGACCTTCGAGCGCCTCTACCTCAGCGGCCGCATCTCACTAGAACTCACCCCGCAGGGCACCCTCGCCGAGCGGTGCCGCGCTGGCGGCGCTGGCATACCCGCCTTCTACACGCCCGCAGCGCTAGGCACCGTGGTCCAGAGCGGAGAGCTCCCCGTGCGCTATAATGCAGATGGGTCTGTGGCGGAGTATGGCGCGGCACGGGAGGTTCGTGAGTGGGGTGGCCGCGGGTATGTGCTCGAGGAGGCGATCCGCGGGGACTGGGCGTTTGTGAAGGCGTGGCGGGCGGACCGGTTGGGGAACTGTCAGTTCCGGCTTGCGGCCAACAACTTTAACGGTGCGATGGGGAGGAATGCGCGCGTGACGGTGGTGGAGGCGGAAGAGGTTGTGGAGGTTGGGGAGATTGAGCCGGCGGCGGTGCATCTGCCGGGGATTTATGTGCAGAGGGTGATACAGAGTGAGGAGCGCGTCAAGGGCATCGAGAAGTATACGTTTGCAAGGGAGCCCGGGGAGGATGTTCAGGCGGCGTTGGGGACTGGGGAGGCTGCCAGGAGGAGGGAGAGGATTGTGAGGAGGGCGGCGAGAGAGTTTAAGAACGGGATGTATGCTAACCTGGGCATTGGGATGCCGATGCTGGCGCCGTCGTTCGTGGACCCGGAGATCTCTGTGCAGCTGCAGTCCGAGAATGGCATACTCGGGTTGGGCCCGTATCCAAAGCGCGGACAGGAGGATGCCGACCTGATCAACGCCGGGAAGGAAACCGTTACGCTCGCCCCTGGAGCCTCGGTGTTTGGATCCGAAGAGAGCTTCGGCATGATCCGCAGCGGGCGTATCGACCTGACAATCCTCGGCGCAATGCAGGTCGGCATGTACGGTGACATCGCGAGCTGGGCACTCCCTGGCCGCATCAAGGGCATGGGCGGTGCTATGGACTTGGTATCGAATCCCGCAGAGACAAAAGTCGTTGTGACAATGGAGCATTGCGACAAGAATGGAGGTCCGAAGATCTTGGAGAGTATGTTCTCTTCTTTTTTTTTCCGGTGGTGGAGCAGGGTGTGGTAGCTAACTGGGTGTAGGTTGTACTTTCCCATTGACAGGGCGTAATTGCGTATCAAGAATCATCACGGAGCTGGGCGTCTTTGACGTTGATTTCTCGGAGGGGCTGACGCTGGTAGAGATTGCGCAGGAGGTTACTGTCAATGAGGTGAAAGCAAAGACGCAGGCGCCGTTTAGAGTTGCGGATGATCTGAAGCCGATGCTGTAAATAGTTGATGCTACTAATCAGCGAGTGATATCCCGTGATGAAGATTGGTTTCTTTTTTATGAAGTGTAGACAGCGACCATTATAATAGCTCGATTGATTCATAATACTTGAAAATGACTTGAAAGTGTTGTCCTGGGATTAAATGGCAGTGTTTGAGATCAAGTATTTCTATGGCGCTCTTTTACAGCCCCAAATCCCGTCCATATCGTTCTCATTGTAAGTCATGTGGTGTTAATAGATGCCGGTGCATTGTGCAGTTTTAGTACCGAATACCCTAGGTGAATCCCAACCTCCACTCCTGATAAACTGGTAAACCGTGGTTTATTGCAAAGGACGGAGTCTAGTTGACTATTTAATTTATCCACAATAAAGACAGGTATCGTCTCACTATTTGAATGGACCACGTACCCGCTCCCTCAACTAACCAGGTATCTGCCTCTCCAACTGATCGACCAACTGTCATATTCGATGTCCTTTATCGACAACTCCGGGTCAAATAAACCGGCCCTATAACATCGCGAAGTAAGAACCGATGCTTGGGCAGAGCCACTAAAACTGCGACTGTAGCCTTCCGATACCTCCTGGCTGCGCACTACATCAGCAATATGAGAAAAACACTCACTGGCTACTGTGACCTAGGCGGCATGCTGCTGACCACAATCAACCGAGACACCGAGCCGCGATAGAAATATAATCATGAGATATCACTCACCGCCATTTAAGCGTGACAGTGACCAACATCCGCTCTTGCTACTGCAAGATGCTTAAATAGCCACTTGAGACGCAAGGGGGCAAAAGCTCCCGTCTAGCTTGTCTCTCAATCATGTGGTGGAAAGTATCTTCCTGTTTTTGAAACAGCGGGCATAATACACTTGATCCTTCATATAACTAAGGACCTGATGATGACGACATAGACACAGTCAATGTTACGAAAATGTCAATCTATATCATTAAAGTCGGACACGAGATAATGGCTTTTCTGATTCGTGGTATGACTGTCCTCGATGGAGGGGTACCTGTAGAAAACACCTGAGGGGTGAAACAGATCAATTTTAGATCCAAACGGCGAGCATAAGATGTTCCGCGCAAGGCATCCTCGGGGGCTGAATCCAAGAAAGAAAGGTTTGCCGAACGGTATATCTACCTTCAAGCTGTATGCACGGCATTGCATCCCATAAAAGCCGTATTACTCCGCCCGACGGGGACTCGAACAAAGGAGTAAATGATGCAGGGACCAAGCTGAGTTTCGAGAGAGCAATTCGTACCCGGGTACCCGTCGTACATTGAGTGTTTGGTTTTTTGATTTTTTCCCGTGCTTATTTATTGCATGTGTTGAAGTACATATATGCATATCGTATAGTATATGTGGCTTCGAGATAAGTACATGTTGTTCCTGGGCGATAATGCATGCGATATAGTACAACTTTTGTACAAGCTGACTGACATGACAGTTCCGCAAGAAAAAAACAGGCCATTGTTTTTCTCAAACGTCATTTGTTTGTAGTAAGCCTTCCAGAGTGTCTTATGCCACCTCTGCGCAGGCGAGGCAGGGCACCTCACCTCGTGGAACTTGTACTATGGGCGTAATTGGATCATGAGGCATCACTCAGATTCAGTCGTGTGTAACGCTATCCGAGTCTCCCCTACCAAAATCAAGCGATAATAGTTGACACTCCACTTCGCTCGCCAGATGGGTATAGTGCACTGGTGGGTCCGACAGGATCTACAGATGGGTGGATATTGTTGATCACGCTACTGATAGTGAAAGCATTGGACAAAATTCTTATCCACCATCGGTCTTGGCTTAGTCTTCCGTACCACCGAGACTAAGCTGGCTGCAAATGGAATAAATGTACACTTTGACGTTGTGTACATATGTGCTGGACGACTAAGCAGCAAAGACTTTGATAACACAGTGGAACTGTGTTATGCCCGCTCTGCTCAGCCTCGGTGAGAGAACTATTCTATCAACAGTATCATCATCATCCTTCTTCAGATCACATCATCACCAGTACTTCACACCGGCCAAAAACTTCCCCACATGTGCGTTGACGGCAGATGCTACTAATAAAACTAGCAAAATGGCGTTCTGCGGGGTTAGGTCATGCATAAATCGTCACAGACAAGGCATTCGATTCGAGTTCACCATATCGATTCGAATATTCACTCTTCCTAAGCCCCGGAACTATGGATCAGTATCCTACTAAAAGTGCAACTATTCAGTACTAATTGAGCTACTAACTCTACTAATTGAACGGGGTCCAACTTAAATCACTCGATTCGAGGGTTTACACCGTTGGCCGTTGAACCCGTCACTAGCTAACGTTTAATTAACGTGGCCTAGGCAGGTCCAGCCCGCTACCCGTCCCACTTTTCTCGCTCCCCGTACTCCCCGCGAGCGCTGTGCCAAGAGCTTCGCCTCTGGATCAGGATAAACTAGGGACACAACACCAACTGCTCCCTGCATTCCCCGGATTAACTAGCAGATCATCAGGGTCGGAAGATACCAGCGATGACCCCCAGGTTAGCTCTTGGAGATCAAATAATTGCGTGGTGCAAACTAGCGAGGCAACCTAACCCTCATGCTCGACATCTGAAATCCTGTGGGTGCGGAGATATTTCTCTTCTTCGCCCAAGGAGGGAGTGGGTGGGTAGGTAGGTAGAACAGAGATCTAGAGTGCCTATTGCTGATGCAAGGAGATTGCCCTTGCATAGATATCCGTATTCCAGACCGTCATCGCTTTCGTGTCACGATAGCACCCCAAATATGGGGGATTTGCAAAAGAGAAGTCGTGTAGGTCGAGTACAAGCTATCGGGTACGACCAGATCCCCCAAAGTTTAATTGTTACATGGGTGTATGTAGGTTCTGTTCTGGCCTGGACCTCCACTCAGTATTGAACGAACCCAGATCCCAGGTTAGGGCCAAACCGCTATGCATATCTTTTGACGACATCGCATCTTGACGACACCTCATAAATTACACAATCCAGACGCAATACCGTGCATAACTATCTGATACTCTCTGGAGACTTTACAGCCCTCCCTACCTCCGTCACGTTGCTCAGGAACAACTCCCAGTGGTTGCCGAGTAGCTGTATTGCTTTTCTTACATTCCAGGCTTTGCGGCCTCGGCCTGGTTTAGAATCAGGCAGAAATCTCCTTGAAGAGTCGCAAGGGTTTTGGCTGCAAGGCATTTCAAACTTGCCCTCATGGTTGGCTCGGTTCGGTTCAGCATCCACCTAGACCTGATCCCCCACGCACCCTCATGAGTAGAGAAATTCAAGAGGAAAAAGAAAAAAAGAGCATTTCGAGTTATCGACCATGACTGAACCTGACTGATCACCTAGCAACAAAGTGTAGTAAGTAGCCCCTGATCTCCTCTCGCCTAGCCCTAGTGTGAATGACAGGCGCCAATCGACGCTGCAGATTCAAGCAACAACGGATTCTGATTGGTCGATACGGTCAATCAACCTGCTGTTGACCTCTACGCCCCGGTCTAAGATCATGAAATTTCACTCGACGAGCCAATCAGAGGCCTCGCCCCGCCTGGTCCAGAACTCGTAACTTTAAACGCTTCACCGCCCACCACGGTCTCGAGTAGGGCTGAGCGGGGTTCCTTGTTGGTGTATGGTCGTATGATCGGCAGCTGCGCAGAGGCATTGCGTTGCTGGAGTGAGGGGGGAGAGAGCTCTAGATCAATATGAAGGGAGGGCTCTACCCTCCCCTCAACCCCTTGCTTCGGTCTATGCTTTTCAAAACTCAATATCTCGGCGATCGACTATGATACTTGGATACTGTGGGGTCCAGTTTCGTAATCGGCGATCGAGTAGGAGAAAAACCCACAAGTCGGATCCTTGATTTGTACAGCTGTAGGAGAGCCCGAGTTCCGATCAGAAACCGCATATTGAGAAATCCTGCGTTTTGAAAAGAAAAAAAAAAGGTAGTGAATTCGGAAGCCTGCAGCCACAGCATGTCGGCTCTTTGGTATCAAGCCACCGCATGGAATATACCATATGCAATTGATAGGACACGATAGTTACCCCCTATTGATAGCTACTTCGTGTATAGCTGAAATCCAGCCTGGGTACATCAGGTAGGGAGAAAAATAAAAATAAAAATAAATGAGGCACAGCAGCATCTAGAGTTGTCCTGGCTGTATATTCGTTTCAAGGCCAATCGTTCTCGAACGCTATGTCCACCCCCCCCCCCCCCCCCCCCACACAGCAACAGAGGCCTTGGCTGACAGGTTTGACAGCACCGATTGGCAGCTAGTTAGCTGGGCGTGTATGTCGCGCATGGACTGAAAGTCCCGTGATTTAGTGAATAGATCTTCTAGATCGCTGGAATGGGCATGAAAGGGGGAGTAGGACCTTACCTATATCCAACGATCATATATGTGCTCCTTGGTTGGTTACCGTCTAGACCTTAACTGCACAGATATGGGGATCGTCTAAATGTTGTACACAACTATTTACTCAAAAAGGGTAGCAATGTCTTGTGACGTTGAAATACACCTAACCCTTTGCTCTCGGGTCTGAACATCCCATCGGGGAGCTACCTCTGGCCGGGCCGATATGCTGTAAGAAAACATTTCCCCACTCGGAGGAGAATATATTCTAGCTTAAGCTTAGGTGATGTCGGGTATTCGGTGTATATATGCCTATGCCTTCAGTCCAGACTCTGAATCAAGAAGTGAGACCTGATATAACCAACTGGCGCACCTCGGCTCGCTGGCAGCAATTTCGGTTTGCAATCCGATCTCCCTTTAACTATTGATAGCTTACTGGTGTGTGTGAGAGAAGTGTAGATTATGTATACTGACGTGCGTCAAAGCTCCCGCAAATTACTTACCTTACTGTACAAAGGAAAAATAAGCTCGGGCTTTTGGTTTCTCAGAGGGCAAGAAACGAAAAGAGAATAAAAAAGTCAAAGGCCTGGATCAATCAATTACTCCATCCGTTCAAGCCCCGTTTTCTCCCCGCGCAAGCTGCTAGCCCGATCAGTGTTATTTTCTCCTAGAAGAGGGTCAAGATCCGTTATACCTGCTTAAATCACGTTATAGCGAGCCCTGTAGCCAGCCAAATTTCCCCCGCAGTGGTGAGACTATGACATGTATAAGGGAAAGGAATATAATATTTTAACGGGCTATGGGCGTATGTGGTCGATGGAGGGAGAAATCCAACCAACGCAATCTGACGGTTTGCCGCGCAGCGTATGAGATGTGTGTTGTTGGAGGACCAGACCATCCATCGATGGTCTCCGTATCAGTTCGGGCATTTCGGAATCGATAGATAAAGTACCTACATGTATGAAAAAGAAACCATGGTAAGGTCCAGTCCATCCACACCCTCACCACCTACAGAAGCACTATTTCGCATGGTATACGTAGGGCTAGGTTTGTAGGTAAGCAAGCAGGCATGCACACATACGCAGGTACACAACACGTAACGGGTGTTTCCGCACACCCGCGGGGTTTTTTTCAGTAAACTCTACTTTCTAGTAGCACCGCCCGGCGCAGCCGTCCAAAAGGGGGAAACGGGGCATCGCCAAACTAACTAACCCTCTCCTCGGCAAGAGCGATTTTGTTTGGAGAGGCGAAAAGGTGGTGGTGGTGGAGAAGGAGAAAGGTAGGCATCATGGAAAACCCGTTTCTTCGGGTGGAACCCCGGTTGCTGATCTACGGTTTTTCTTGCCCTGATTTATTTTTGTAGATTTTGTTTTGTAGATCTGGGTGGAAGAAGAAGGGGGGGCAGGGAGGGGTGGTGCGGATGTGCTAGCTACAATAGATTTGGTAGGACTGGGTGGGCCACACGAGATGTAACGTTAACGGCTGTTAATTGCTGAATGGGGATGTGGATGTGCAACTATTTCTTTTCTTTTGTCATACTTTGCTGCTGCTGCTGCGTCCATGTGGTAAACGTTTTGGTTTGGTTTGGTTTGGTTTGGTTACAGAATATCATGTCCATGTAGACGATAACCACGTTTATTTGTAGAAGTACCGTGTAAGTACATCATCATGTCTCGTAGGTGCTCTGCGTACGTTACGGGTAGGATTGGCCAGAGTCATCAGTCACAATTCACGCTCTACAACATGAATATGATAGACCAGGCAGACCATCGTAGGCATCAGCAGGTCAACAATTATTATCAATTACTCACGGCTGGGCTCGCTTGGACTTGTAGGAGTTTTCTTGTAATGTTATTTGATTTGATGATGTGCCAATTGCAATAATTGCTAAAACTACATACAGACTAAGTGAGGCCAGAAGAGGCCAAAAAATGCTAAAAGTACAGAAAAATACCAATGCAAAAAACCCAAGACAAAGACAAAAACTCCGCTTTCTCCTTTCCGTTCCGGTATCTGTATAAGAAAAAATAAAGGGAAAAAAAAAGAAAAAAAGATGGTAAGGTAAATAACTACAGTACGAATTTTTTTTGCGATCGTTCAAACATGAATAAGGAAATATGAAATGCAGCCCAAAAACAGGAGGACTATGAACAAGATGCAATGCAATGATATAAAAAAAACAAAAAACACTAGAGGCAAAGATCTCAAAAAAAAAGTCCCATTGTACATACGTAAGTCCCTATGACAGGTACTTGGGCGGACTAAGAAAAGAAATATAAAAAAACACCTCATCACAACACAGGCAATCCTCTGCTTGTCGGGTTACCCAACAGCATATAAATCAGTATACATGTTATGCCAATATGATTTATTGTACGATGCACCACAATAGGAGGTATCAGTACGCAGATGGTGTGGCCGTTTGCAGTGGCGCTGTGTCTTGTTTGGGTCGCCCCGTTCCGTTTATTGCCCAATGCTGATGTGTAGGGTCATGTCTCGTGATATACGTTTGTATCTGCCTGCGCCGATCCGAGAAAAAAGAATGTAATGCGCCAGCCCGAAACCAAAAGAGTGTAATGCGCCAACGAAACCAAAATTTACCGCCCCTGACCCCCCACCACCCGTCTCGTACCCCCCATTTCCCGCTTGTTTGTGTCCAGCCCATTTACCGCCACCTTGTATCAACCATTCAGTATCGATCATGTCGCGACTTGATATCCTCATCGCTTGGACCTGAATCGCTGTCGTACATCTTGGGTGATCGCAACTGCTGTGATGATCCGAGTCTTGCCAAGCCTCTCACTATCCTCTCTAACGTACTAGCCTTCCCACTACCCTCTTCCATATCTGAGTCCTCGATGGTGTTTCTCCTGAGAAAGCCCGACTTCTTCCTGCTCTTCTTGCTCAACTTGTTGACTGGTACAACGTCTACATCCACAGAGCTCGCCTCGGAGCGAAAGCTTCCGATGCTTGTGGGCCTTCCTAGTTCCTCTGCACCTTGAATCATGTCCAATGATAACCTGAGATAAGCATGCACTGACTCGCTGACGGCTGGCCAGCCACCGGCGTTTGAGCGCACAGTCTCCAAGATTTCGGGACCATTATTCTCAACACCAATGATGTATCTCCACAGCGTATGACGTTGGTTGGCAAGGATAGGCGCAGTGAGGAATGCATTAATATCAGGTTCTTCAAACGGGTACAGTGTGTTCAGGATAGCGATAGAGTTAAACTTGTTGAAAGGTTCCAATGAAAGCTCATGGATTAATGTCTGTGCACATGTTAGTTTATTGCACTCGATAATTGTAAATGCATAACTCACCCAACGCCTAATTCCTGCGATCGCTCTTGCATAGAACTGCTCGATCTTGATTGACTTTGTTCTCAAACCCTGAATCTTCCTGTCATTCTCGCCTCGTGCCCTTACGGCCTTCTCCAACTCCTTCTTCCTTCGGTTCTCCAAATCGCGAATGTAATCCAATGCTGTCAATGCTTGATCAAACTCGACATTCTTCAATTCAGCAGCGAAAGTTCTTCGGACAAATGTTGCGAGGAAGTTAGGTGGTAGTGTGTGTGGCTGTGCTGGGATGTTTGAGATGTGTTCCAACAAGAGCATCTTGAAGTCGGCAGGTGAAGTGTGGGGTGTTGCTGAGTTGAGTGTGTAAATTGTGCGTAGAGGAAGAGTGAATTCATAGGTTGATGGGTAAGTAAGCACGTGGTCAAATACCCTGCAGAATGGCAGGTTAGCTACATGTTTGCAGTTATTTTGAAGCTCGACGGAAGGACTGAAAGTTACCAATTCATTGCTAAACCGTCTCTGCTAGGGCTGCTAGGACTGATAGGACTGGAAGCCCCAGATGATACTGATCCAAAAGACATTCTGAATATTTAGGTAGTCTTAAAGACTATATGTCTAAGAGGTACAATTATATTCTTTACTTGTGGTGGAAGATGGTTGTGAATTTTGGGGGTGGGAGTGGAGGATATATATGTATGGGACGAATGGGTTATGGATGTCAAGTAGGGCCAGGTTGTTACTAGTGCAGTAATAATCAACGTCGAGAGATGTGCGGTAGTGACAAAGAGGGGAAGCGACGGATTTAGTTATGGGGAATGGGAGGAGCGAGGGGGAAGACGGAGTTTTTGAACGAGTGACTGAAGGAAGGATGGCGAGTTGATCGGACGTCAGTGCGTAGCAAAGCAAATGATTCCCAAAGTGGTTGGGCCGGAGGCGGGGCTAGGCTAACTTCGAGGTTCAATAGTTTGCGAAGGGGCCAAAGGAAGGAAGGGCACTCTGAGACGAAACAACACCACCAGCGAAATACTCAAGGACAGAAAACGAGAGGAGGGGATTCAGAAAATCAGGAGAAGGGGGACGAGAAGAAAAGAAGAAGGAAAGAGAAAAGAGAGGAGGTCAAAACAATAAGTAAAGTATTTGTCCTTATTAACTGCAGGCGACGTTGATGCATTACTAGAGAGTACCGTACATCTATCTGCACGCCTAATGCTACTTCTGCAACTACATAAACCGCCCGAACACCTTTTCTTCCTACCTCCCACCCACGGCAGACGTGATACCCCCAGTCCAACCCAACCCAAGTACAAACGGCTGTTGGAATTTTCTTTCTTTTCTTTTGTGATAGAAAGCCTGACTAAAGACCGAGTCTTGCCGGTCTCGATTCCCACCAGAGTGTGGGATGTGTGTCTGTTACTGATCCATCTTACAAGCATCGCGTTAATACTACATCTAGCCTCAAGCAACAGTTCTATGCAGTCCAGCATTCTAATTACCCACAAAAACTCCTCTCTGCTTCTTTCTCCTGCTGTCGTTCTACATTTAGACTCTAGAGGGAGCCAATCTGCACAGTCCCAGAAAGACGGCACAAGTTGGCTACAGGGTACCCCCCCCCCTTCTCTCCAACCCCCATGCAAAAACGCGGTCGAGAGAAACAAACGCTTGCAGTAGTGTAAAGCCGTACCCCCTCAATGTCCCTGACCTCCTGTCCCGAATACCTGACTACCACACGGGGCCGGGCGGCGAGGGAGGGAAACTATGTGGTTTCTGAGCGGGACATTCGGCAGTCTTACACCTTCACAGCTCTACCTACTAAAGTGACCCTCTCGCGCCTTCATGTACCGACGATGATGGGGGCTGCCCTCACCGCGCGCAGTCACGCAGTCACGGACCCCTCAACCCGGATAGCGACATGTATGTCCGTCGTCTCAGAGTGGGCCGTCTGCCATCCTGCCATAGATCAGGATACCCATCTACGTGTGTCTCTATCCATAGGTTGGTTTTGCGAAGAGACATCGCAGCTCGGTACCGCCAGTTGGAGCTGCTGCTATGCTGCTGCGCTGTAAGCTGCGGCCTGCCTGGGGAAAGTACATACTCTACTCTAGGTATGTAGGTGTGATGTATGTAACTAGCAGTTCTCTTAAGATAGAGTACATACATAGAGTAGAGTAGATTGGGATACTCCTAGAGTGTACCTACATAGAGTACTCCCTACTCTACGCTCATGTAGGTGTAGGTACATAGAGTAGACTCGTACCTACATCCAGGTAATCGAAATCCGGTTAACCTACACCATACATACAGGTTTTAAGCGATGCTGCTGCTCTACATCATGTAGGATCTTCCCACATACAACGTTCCTCACGTCTGCACTGCTGACTGACCAGTTTGGGAAGTCAGGGGAGGGCTTTATGTTATCGTCATGTAGGTACTCTACATACAATTGAGTACAAACGGGGGTTGCCTGCAGTGCTGCGACTGCCCGTACATGTAGGCACTGCTGCTTGCTTGCTTCTCTACCCTACCGTACGTTGTCGTTTACGACGGTGATTCTCGTTATGGTCATCGAAGCTGAAAAGCTTGGTGCACGGTCCAGCTGCGGGAGAATTTTTTTCCCTCCGAGTTCTCAATCTGGAAGGCTAGTCTATAAGTAGAGAAGGGCTTTGTGATAGTCTTCGGGAAAGCTCTTCCCGGCAGACCTTTCCCCAACAACCCTTGTCCCGGGATAAACAGCAGGGTCAGGCCTTGCTAGTCGTCACTTGGTTTTCTCTAGTTTCAACGTTAACTCGTTTACGATTCACTTCCGCTTTGGCCTTTGGTGGATGGACCCTTACAATGGTCAACCGTGGCACTGACTGCGCTTCCATCGCCGACGACATTCTCGTGGCAAATCGATCTGATGGAGGCGAAGGTTTTGCATACGTGAGCTTGCGGAGGGAAGAGATTGTGGAGGAGGGGATGCAGAGCAATGTTTTTGTGGAGTTCGTTGATACCAATCGTTCTTCAACAGGGCTGCCCAAGGGATCAGTGGGAGGGAAGATAATATTATGTGTGGAGGTTCCTCGCTTGCTAGCCCCATGAGTTTACCTGGAGCCGTTTCTTGGTTTCTATGTGAATACATACAAAGGGCATTGTATTCAATTAATATTTGTGAAATTCAAATGGATCAAGGCGAGTGAGTGCGCATGAATATATGTAAGTATACTACTACATGTATCTAGGAGTAATGATGTAGGCATTCAATAGACTACCGCGCGGATAGTCCCTTCGGCCTGCAAGACATAGTTTTTGACGGCAACTAGCGGTGGATCCTTTTATGTGAATTTCAATACCACTCCGTCATACTTCCTTCTGAATCATTCAGTTCCTTCTCGACTGTTTCATCTTTCTGCAGCCAAGAACACTATATCTCAAAAATCAATATTTCGATTGCTCCTCCCGCCGCAAAAATGTCAGTGCGGTATGCGGAAACCAACACGCTGGTGAAGCACATCGATGGAAAAACATTTGAACGGATAAAGTTTATCGTTATTGATGATGATTTAAGTGCTTCTTTCACCTCTAAAAACCTTGCTGGGGTCAACCCCCAGTCCGATAAATTCAGGCGTTACAGATTACCACAACCACAGGACGAAGGAAGTTGTGACAATCCTAGCGTGATCAATACTGAGCAAGACGTTTCTTACAGGAACAATTTAACTGAAAAAAACAAACTTTTTAATGATTTGCACTATTGCTATCACCCTACTCAGGTCTCGCGGATCAGCAAATTCGTTTGCTGGTCCCAAGGACCATTAGTTCCTTATAAACCGAAGATAGCCTTGATATTTGAAGTCGAAGGCCCATTTAAAAAGGTCCAAAAATTCAACTGGAACGATACCCCTAGAGCTAGCGTGTTTATGTGCAACAAAAATGGAGAAATAAAAAAACTGGCGTTCGGTGATGCTCGCGTATCAGGTGTTGAATTCATATCACTAGGGAAACCAGCACCTATTTCAAGTTGTGGTGATACAGCTTCGTTCTTATCTTTAATTCCAGGCAACGAGAGAGCGGAGGAAATCTTTGAGACGATCATGGATAAAACAGCGTTGGAAATTCAAAGGGCTAGATGGGGTATTTCGTCTTCTATGTTGTTTTCGTCATCAGAGAGTAACTCTGATGACGATGATAATTCACTATGTTTGAAACCCAGAACTTCTAAAAAGGTTACATGGGACGATGAACCATCTCAACCAACCAATCCCAGGTATTTAACTCTCTCGATAAATTATTCTAAGATTTCACCGAACTAATCAAAATTCTATTCAGTCGGCCTGGTAAGAAAGGATCGATGGAAAGGAAGCTAGTTGCTCAAGTTGGGAACCTATGTCATGCTCCGAGGGGGTTAGAGACCGGACAGGACAACCTCACATCATCGAAGCCTCTTCATCCCAAACCTTTCCATCACGGTTATCATCATCCACTATCATCAGCACAATTTTTCGGAGCAGGCGCAGCCAATATTCCTCCAAGGTCACCAATGAGCGCTAATAATATTGCGGAGACAGGATTTACGGCCACAGAACCGGCGAATATCGATCATATCAATCAGGATCTAACAATTGACTTATCATTTCGTAAACGTCGTATGGATGCGTTTAGAAGAAACACGAAGTCGGATATCCCTAAACTAGGAGTTATCGAAGCAAAGCAGCCAGGGTCAATCCTTCGAAAACCAGATTTGAGTTCGGATCAATCCGCTGGTGATGAATTCAAAGAATACCAGGAACGGGCTTCAGGAAATCACCGTGCTCCCCCGACCCATCATTCATTTCCTCCCTTAAGTGCACCAGCAGACACCACGCAGATCGATGAACAACGCTCGAAAAGTCTCGATAGAGACATTTGCACGTGTGGGAAACGTCATACTAAAAATTCCGAGAATGCAGCTCCCCAGAAGCTTGATAGTGACACTTCTGGCATGGCGCCAGCGGATCCTGATACTACACGCGATGTTCCATGCGCACAATTGACAGATAAGGTCACTAGCGGTAAACCTATTAGTATCAATACTGAGGTGAAATTGTCCGATTGTTCAAGGCCACATATTGGTTCCGATTTCGACAATTGCGGCATTTGTACTTCTGCATCTAGAACCTGTGCTGTCGAATCACCTACAGGCTCCATGGATAGTGCTTTTGGCACTAGCCTCCAAATTTCTGGAAATAAGAAAACCATTATATCTCCACATCCTTCTCAATTTGACCTTAGTGGACTCTCCCGTACGTGTGAACAGCCAGCGCCACCTCAGGATGATGTTCAACCAGACAATATCCAACCATACGAGATCTGCCGCAGCGATGATCCGGTTTTCGATGGTAGTATTATCCAACGCGGCTTTTTTCCCAAATATCCGAACAAGGAGGCACCTGCGGTTGAATATCGGAAACGTATTGGTGGTGTTGGGAACTGGTACCAGTGGCCACCTATCCAGGTCTCCAGAGAGTACCTTCCGGAGGGGTTGAAAGAGTTCGATTGGAGCTCGACTGACAGTGGCAAACGCGGAGAGTTCGTTCCCGGTGGTATTTCGTGGTAAATTTTGCATAATCTGACACTGCTCACAGAAAGCCCTCCCAATGATTTTTCCCTCCTTCGTATTCGTCCCCATATACTTTCATTGTTACTATTCCTATTATCGGTCCCATATCAAAACGGAGTCATCGGGATTTCGGGGTTTCGGGGTTTCGGGGTTTCGGGTACTAGAGGGGCGTTCGATTGGTATTTTCATTTTTTCACAACTAGCTATATAGCTGTTGTTTGCTATGGCCAGGTTTGGCACTATATGGGGGGAGTTTTAGTTGTTTGGCGTTTGTTTTGGCTGGTAGGACTTTTTAGCTGATGGACCTTTTAGCAGATGAGACTTTTAGCAGATGCATACTGGGGTTTTACCAGTATCGATAAAGATCTGTGTTGATCATTTCTATATTTCCTTTTTTTCTCTATACGGATACTTCGTTGGATGATTATTGATACTTGATTGTATACTTAGGGACACCTTGTTGCATGATTAGGGATACTTTATGTTATCTCATAGATTCTCACTCGGGCATTGTTAATAATGATACATGTATACGGGTTGCTAGCTACTCTGATTTTCGCATGGGCCTTCAGATTTTAGCTAGGTTGCGAGAGCTCTCGGAGCAGATTAATGTGGAGTAGTCTGCATAGTCTATGCGAACCCAGTCAGCGGTGGAGAAGGGCGGGGATAGATTGTATTTATCTGGCAAGCAATTGAATTAGTAGACAGATACTGCTAGCTATGCTGTGTATCTTGCTGTGTTGGGAGGCCGAGATGAAGAGTCAGGGGTTCGTAGAGTAAGTGATCAACAGAGAAACAAGGACGGTTTCTCCAACAGTAACGGCTCGCTTCAAGTCGCTTAACTGGTTATATTGGATATAGAATCTACCGCAAAGGCCTTTTGTTTAGCCGGACCCCAGTTGTGCAAGTAGAGTAGGGGTGAGACAATCCTTGTTGCAAGGGGGGCTATATGTACATTCCCGGTGCGTACATTATATAGCTTTCATACCGGGCCAACTCTCGGTCGCTGCACTGCACAAATTTTTTAACATCGGTACCTGGCATATGTATGCACATATATTGTGTGCCAGTAGGTAGGTATGAGTCCTGAGAATTTTTATCTCATATTACTCTTCCTACTTACCGTGTGTCCCTCTCGTTCTAGGTATCTCCTTGGACTTTCAAAACGATAAGGTCACGCATTTACCCTCCCCTAAGGTCCCAAATACCCTTGTTTTCTCAACAAACGGGGACATAAAAGCTTTATCATATCAACTTGCATAGACTACAAATCACATGGATATTCATATGTAATCATGTACTTAATAGTGTAGTAGTTAGTAGTAGTAAAGTATCAATTTTACTTCCATGTCTACCCTGCGCCAATGCATTTAAACATAAAGAATAGACGGCTTCATCTTCCACCTCTCCACCTCCTTCAATTCAACCAGCGGCGATAGCAGCATTAGCAGAGTTAATGTCAGCCACCATCCCCCTCCACCCGTCCGCCTTCCAGGGTGCCACCATGATAGCCTTTTGGTCGCAGCTTAGTACTCCAATCTGACTAAATGCGTGACACAATTCTTCTGCATCAACCTTCCCTTGGACTGCGACCTTGAGGGCCATATCTGCCGCGTGATAGGAGGGTTCGGGGGAGGCTGTCAACAATTTGCTCCATGTTGAGGACGAAAAAGGGCGCAGGAACACTGAAGTTCCAGCAATGCTAATGTTTTGGTCCGGTTTCTGTGCAGATTTGTGGCGTTAATAGCTGGTTTCGGAGTTTTTATATACATCCTCGGAACCGGCAGGGTGAACGGGCGAGGGGGACGAGAATTAAAAGGAAAGGAGGAAATATCGGGGGAAAGGAAAGATTAAACGGACCATGAGTTGACCGATAAGGCTTAAAAGCTTATCTACTTTCTCCCGAGATGCCTCGTCGATTTTGTCATCTCCACAGACCGCCTGTAGATCATCCATAACCGCATCCACCACATCTTCATTATTATCCAGAACCCCAATGGCCCCCAACAATAGCGTAGATTGCAGATGATCCGGATGTTTCTCAATACATGCAAACAATTGGTCTCGCGCTACGTCCCGCTCCTCGTCTCCTCCTTTGGCCCACAGCACTTGGGAAAGTAGGCAAACTACATCCGGATTTTCATTACTTTCAGTTAGTGCCGCCTTGAACATCTCTAGACTGTCGTCCATAGCGCCTAGGTAGTAGTGTGCCAACCCTGCTGTAAGATGTGCCGATAAACGGCAGTTTTTTAGTGCTTCTGTGTCGCCGGATAGGTCAAGCGCTAGGCTGGCATTTTCGACCGCTGCTTCGTATTCTTTGAGCCCGAGCCTTACACGGGCTAGATCGGCTTTGGCTTGCGCGTATCTGATTAGATCTTCCTCGGATTCTGTTTCCTCATACCGTTGCTCTACTGTATTACAGACGATCTCGAGTTTAGCAGCTGCTGGAGTGAACTCTTGAACTCGCTCGTTGAAAAGCGCGTTCAGTCTCAATGACACAGGCTCAGAAGAGATCTGTTCCTGTAATTTCTGTAGCGCAAATATAGGTCCAAGAAGCGATGAAAACGCTGTCGAAGAATCTAGCTCTGTAATGCTATCAAAAGTCGCAGTCGAAAATTGCCGTTTAACCAAGACCTAGATATCCAACTAGTTAGCGCTAGGTTAAATCATAACTCATCACTCGACCTACCGAAGAGCTCTCCGAAATCTCAAAGGCATGACCATAAAGCTCCAACGCCTCTTGTGTTTCTCCCAACATCTGCGCAATGATCGCTTGCCCCACCCATGCAAGTGCATACTCAGGGTCTGCGCTCTGGGCCTTTGAAAAGGCCTGGTTCGCAATCTCCATATCACCCATCAGAATATACAGCGCGCCCAGGTTCACCCAGACCCGTGCGTTCTTCTCGTTAATATATAGTGCTCGTACGAGAGCGTGTTGAGCTATTTTGGCATTGAGCTCACCTGTTGCAACTCCGAGCGCGTTCCAGAACTCGTGGTTTCCAGGCTCGAGCTTGATGGTGCGCTTGAAGCAGCGGATGGCTGCGTGTCGATATTTCATCGGCCGTGCGGGGAGTGAGGCATAGGTCCGGTACTCGGCACATCCGAGATTGAACCAGGCAACGGCGTGTGCGTGCCGATCGTCGGCGGAGGCGTAAATTCCCCGCTTGTAGGCTAGAATTCCCATGTGTAGGCAGATCGTCAGATCGTCTAGTTGCTCGACTTCTTCTAGAGTATTTGATCCAGCGCCGTCGATATCGGCGATAATGTCGAACTCGGAAATGTCAATATCCTCAGATAGGATACGAGAGACTAGCTCTTTGGGGAATTTCTCTGTCAAGCTCTGCACCCATGAGAAAATAAGGCAGCAGTCCCCTACAGTCTTCCAAAGATTAAAAGCGTCTGGCCGTTCCTTCACGATTTTTTCTGCAACCTGTAAAGATTCTACCGATGCATTAACGGCTCTTCCAAAGTATCCTTTCTCTACATAATGCCATGCACTAGCACTTAGCGTCTCACTCAAGGCTACAAGAACCCCATATTCTCCAGGTTGTAGGTCAAGAACAGCTCTGTATCCTGCGCAAGCAGCTTCGTATTCGCCTAGCTCGCGGTTCACATTCGCGAGCATGTATTTCGGGAACCAACTCGATGAGTCAATTTTTTCGGCTTGTACAAATACCTTTGTAGCGGCAACCCATTTTCCAGAGGAAGCATATGCTTCACCAAGGCCAACCCAGGCGTTATAATCACTTGGTGCAACTCGTAATGCAGCTTGGAAGGATTGAATGGCAAGTGCATAGTTTTGTGCGTTCTATTATTCATGAGGTAGCACTCGTCAATACCCTACTACACCAAAAATCACTCGGAGTGAATGTAACATACCAACTCAACCACTCCAATTGCGCTGTGTGGCCAACTCATGCCCTTCCCGGGTACTGATCTCTTCTGATCAGCCTCTGCAACCCTTCTCGCAATGATTTCAACCAACTCCCATTCTTTGCTATCGGCGAAACTCCTTGCGAGACGTTCAGCGGCTTCTACTTCACCAGCCGATAGCTCGAATGCTTTTTGAAAACATTTATTCGCCCTGGCAGTGTCATTGGCAATATCTTCATAGTATATACCAAGTGAAGTGTATGCCGGTGCGAAATTTTGATTACTACGCAATGCAGAGATGAAGAATGAATATGGGCCGTTCTTTCTATCGGCTCTCAAATCCTCTATTTCGATGAATCAGCCACGCCGCCAAAAAGCGGTAAACAAAAATATACTTACCATGGCCATTCCATACCGCCATTCCGATTCTCCACGTTATCTGTGCCTTCAAATCCCTACTCCTAGGGTCAAGCCCGCCAACCAAAGCTGCACATCTCTCTAACTCCTCTTTTCCTTCGTCATGTTTCCCCATTAACACATCACACCACGCTGCCTCCGCTCTGATCTTGACATTTTCTGGATCTAGTGCAAACGCCTTCCTCAAAAGGTCTCCAGCCATCTCATACTTCTGCTGCTCCTCCAAAATAAGGCCCAGGCCCACCAAGGCCGCACCATAGGTTGTTTTCCTTGCGAGAACGTCTTCAAAGGCCGCGCGGGCTTCAGGGTGGTACTTGGGCGATTGATAGTGAATCTGTGCAGTTGCTAGAATGACGGTTATCGCGTCAGTGTTCTTGAGGAAGGGAAGGTTGATGCGTGCAGATTCAGCGGCGATGAGTTTTTGTGCATTGCGGGAGACATTGATGGCCTGCTCATATTCGTCGAGAGGGAGATAGTATTCAGCCACGATTCGATGGCAAAGGATTGAGTTGGAAGATTTTTCGAGTCCCTCCTACAAGCAAAGTCAGAATACTAGGTGATTGGAGGAAATCTCCTGGGAGTTTTACAATCATGGCATCTATCAATTCATCTGGAGAGCATTCCTCTGCTGCAGGCTCTTTTTCGACTGGATTACCGTCTTCGTCGACTTCTACGGGTATGGGAAATGGTGATAATTCGGATTTTAGGTATGCACTGAGAGCTTTTGAAAGACCAGATTCTGGGAAGAATTGGATATATTCCCGTAAGATATTTACGTCATGTTCGCCTAGACCCGTTGTTAGAACGTTATTTAATTCTCCACGGCAGAGAAAATGTTACAGGAGCACTTACCTATACTCTCGCAATCCCTCCACTCAATGACAATCTTCCATGCAAGCTCGAATGGATACTTCAATATAACAAGACCTTCTGCCCACTTGTAAACTTTAGCTCTTTCCGCGCCCTTTTTCTCCTTATCTACAACCAGCAGTTTGTCGTATCCATGCTGAAGTAGCTTCGCATCAATGGTCCTTCTCAGCTCTTCATCGTCTGACCAATTGAGGATCTGGTGGTATAGGTTTTCTAATGGGGAAGCCTCCAAAACCTCTCTCTTAACTTCCCTTGCAACCTGGCCTGGCTTAACTCCAAGACGTGAACGTCGTGAAACAATCTCTTTATTTATTTTCTCCTTCTCTTCCGCTTCAATTATGTCTATGAGCTTCTGTAGCGTGAGTGAGGGGTGAGGAATACGGCCTTCCAGGAAATCAAATATGGGAGATTCTGGGAGTAGAAGGTGGAGCGCGCGTTTATACTATTCCTATTTAGTTTTACTATATGACTCACCACAAAGCAAGTATGGACAAACCTGCTCTTTGCTCCCATTCTCTTTCACAAAGGGCGTGATTTTATCCACAACATTCTGACACCTCGTGCGGTCGTCCCTAACATCACCTCAATTAGCACCCGCATCCAACGCGACAATCCAACACCACTTACAGGTCCCTATATATCACGGCCAGCTTCATTGCTGCTTCCATGTACTCGTCCACCTTTTTCTGTGCCTCAAGCACATTGACGAGCCCACTCCATGCATTTTTATCGCCCTTTCCATCCTTCTTCTGGGCCTCGGCCGCGATCGCCTCCTTATAGCAAACTGCGGCCTCGTCGAACCGCCCCTGCCGGAAAAGTGCCAGCCCAAGAAACGTATTCCTACATTCTCCCTCAATCAGCTTCTCTCGCATACTGTATTATCTCTCCGGGCGCACATACACATGATAATTCGTTGGGTCGAACTGTAAAACGCTGCGACATTTATCCTCAGCGCCCTTCCAGTCCTCGGCTTTGAGGGCAACGGGAATCGCTTTGATTATAGCTTTGGATGCCATTGTTTGTCCTGATGTTGCGTTAGTGGGGTGGTGGGAGGCCTTATCGATTGCGGCAGGTCGTCATGCTACTTGTCCCAGGGGTTACACAAAACGTTACCAAAAACCTAACCCTGTAGATTCCTCGGCATAGGGTTAATGATCATCTAAACCGTTTCTGCTAGCGAAGAACATTTATTGCAATTATCAACATTGTGCAATGTTTAGCATGCAACTTTTATTTCTGTGTCAAACATCCGCTTGCTCACAGATCAGTAATCGCTTATAAGAAGACATGGGGGCGGGAGTTGCTTTTAGGAACATGTCATTGTTCATGGATGTCATATTCTCCTTTTGAAATAGGCAAATTCGCGGAGAGTCGGCTCTATGATTTCTCGGCTCATGTATGAGTCTCAGACTTAGACACGGCTAATGAAGTCAAAATTTCACGGCCCGAGCAAATGTTTATGGGGCTCGGACATCGGCCTCGGACTTCCTTCATACACAGACCTCTTATTCTATATATTCATGCATGCAAGCCGATCATTGACTGTGGGTAGTTACAAATAAAGTAGGTGTGCCTGGAACATGAAACTCCCATGTTCCCTTCCCTCGGGTGCCAACTGTCAGACCTATTACCTTAAGGGAACCTCCTGAGGGCTTCACTCAGTCCCTCTCCGAGACGAACCCTGGGTCAGCAGTACCCAACAGCCTGGGAGGCTCCCGGACACCACACATTCTACCTGCTCTACCGATGAAGCCCTGTCAAGATTTACGTATGTACTCTACCTACATGTGAATATACTCCCTAGAGTACTTTCATATGCGCCGAACTTCCGCACATACCTCGCGATACCAAAGAAGACACCTCTCCTGAGCCCTCCCTCCTTGGCGAGAGGTCTCAACTACAGATCGTAAGCTGTGTAGCATGCGCCGCAAATGTCAGTGGCTCCCCGATCCACGTAGCTTTTTCAGATACATACGTATGTTAACTCGTACCACGCATCGTACGGTACCCGTGTGGTTCCCAGCAGGAGGACACCTCCTGAAGTCTGAAAACTAAAAGCTTCTATGCACCTACTCTACTGCCTATTATACTCAGCTGCAGCTGAGACTATCTCGGAGACGCGCTCTCCGAAACCTATAGCCATGCACCCCACAAGCCCCCCCCCCTCAAAACCATGCAGACCGTACCTGCCAGACACCCCCTCTTACCATGCACTAGGGTATCACCACCGGCCCTCGGCTTCCCCAAAGTTTTCCCAAGCGGCAAACTCCATGACCCCATGAGAAATTTTCTTGGGGCTGCAGTCTGAGAGCGCCTCTTAATTGACCGCGTGTTTTACAGATCCTGGGATATTCATCACCATGTCCTCGGGAGCCACCTCTGATAGAGACATGACTCTGCGATGCATGGCTTTGCGTATTTAGGTATGCATGTACCTACAGCATAACCCCCAGTCTCAAATGCTTCGTGTTCACGGATTTCGTATCAGAAAGCTCGGTGTAGCCATGTGTATGGTCAGATGTACGGGTACTAGCCAGCAAGCGAAGGTAAACCCCCGCAGCTGAGAATACATTGGAGCTACATAGCATGAGACAGGGACCACAGATCCAAGTTATCTTTGGGATTCGCCAGAGACTGAGGCTGAAGTACAGAGGTTAATTAGCCCCAGCTGCAGGTAGTCACTCAAGAGGTACCGAAGATAACGTGGCCGGCTCCTCGGAGCGGCATCAAGAGGTGCTAGCGCATTATAAGCCTCTATGGGGGAGGGGTATCTGAGGGGTACGTACCTAAAAAGAGAGTTGGGGGAGAACCAATTGAGGGGTAACGTACTGAGCCAGAGTCGGGTTGGCTAATTAGACAACTTTTATGACGGGGCTTGGAAAAAATAATTATTTGGCCAGCGAGGGAATGTTCGAGGAGACCATTAATGCATATTCTTTAATTTACAGTTGGTTACACCCCGTGGTACTTCTATGACGTGACACAACGAAGGTAGCAAGACAGACAAAGACGGACCAAAGAAGCAAAGAAGCTCAGAAACGGTAAACTTCCTGGAATTATATGCAAGAGAAGAGAAGACTGAAACTATGTTTGAGGCGTTCACATTTGCTTATTTTCCCTTCTCAATGATGGAGGTGAAGACCGGCGGGCACCATAATCAGATAGTCACACACGGATATATGAACCAATCAATGATAATTTTCATATTGGATATTTGGTTGTTTAAATGATGTCGAACCGTACAGGTAAGCTGTCTGAACCTGTCACGTCGACACCTGTCACTGTGATTTCGACATTTGTCCGATGCGTGACTATATAGCTACATGTAGTTAAACTCCTTGTCGATATTAGAATCAAGTCGCCCAACTATCTCGTCCTACTTTTCCAACATTTCACAATCTAATGCTCGCGAGTGATGACCCATGACGCCAAATATATTGTGGGTTGACAAAAAGTTGTACGAGGATGGGTCATGAAACGACTATAACTCCACAACCACAAAAGATAGTTAAGTGATTAGAAAGCTGAAGATTGATAGAACATAACTAAGTAGCTCCTAGTTATGAATCCCGATTACCGACTTTGTGGATTAGTATTGTGGGTTATCAAAATTATCCGGACGCTCGCGCGCGTCGCAACCACGTAAATTGGCTAGAATAACTAAATTTTGAAAAAAAAAAACACTTCAATTGAGCTCCTATTGAAGCTTAAGATAAGAGAGGCATAAGGAATCACAAAAATGAAATCTCTTGTCTTATCCCCTCGTGGTTGTGGAGAAAGGTGGTGTTGAAGTTCCCATATACAAAATTTGGCTGGTTGCTATATATGCGAAAATCACGAGAACTGTAATTTTGTCAACCCACGATTAATACACATGTGAATTTTGACACCGTAGAAACCGGCTAGAAGAGTGCAAAATACTCATAATCGGCGCTGGCCATGGCCGGTAGAAGTTCCATAAATAAATGTAGGTACAAGTAGATTAGAGCCAATGTGCACAGTTGCAGGCCGGTGGAATAGAAGTAGATGACAGCTAGTCACAAATTAAACATAGACGTCGCGAACAATCGAATTTTCATATTGAAGACCAAACACTCAATAATCAATAACAATCCGTATTTTCTTAGGGATTGTCTTCCACCTAATAGTGAGGTTACTTTAGCCATACACATCGATCACAGTAATTCAACCAACAACCTTTTGACCCGACGAAGGCCTAGGGATAGGATAAGTAAGTTTGATTACAGCTGATGATGGTATTGCGGAGTATTTATCCAGTGGTAAGGGCCTATGGAAGAAAAAACTACAATGACACTTCAAGACGAGTGATATCTCATGACTGCAAAAGGATAAGTACCCCCAACAGCAATCTGCCTGCCCATACCCATACTTAACAGAGGCTTCACTACTACAACTTACTTGCAGAGATCCCTTGCCATAGCCAGTATCCTATTTCCCAGTGGGTATCACGCCCAAGCACAAGTCCTCACAACCAATTACCTACGCACACCGAACAACCCCGCCAGCACCCCTACCGCCCTCTCCACAACACCCACCCCCGCACCTATACCCGCACCGCGCACTCGGATCCCTCTCACCCGCGGCGCCATGCCACTACTGCCCATAAAGAACTGCGCCCAACCCGGCGATGCTATTGGTACACGACTAAAATACAACGCTTTTACTCCTCCTTTATCCCCGCAACCGCCAAACCAGGCAAAGTAAAAAAAATTAGCTATCCCCATCATCAACATTGGGCTCGGTCTCCCCATTGTCATCCGCACCTTCTTTCGCCGCCCCCGTGGTCTCCGCCGCCGCCGCCGCCGCCGGCTTCACGACGGGCTGCTTCCTCGGCGGGATGACGGTGATGAAGGCCTGCTTCCAGTCGCGGCACTCGAGGTACTTGAGCATGATCTCGACGACCTGGTTGGTGGTGAGCACGAAGCGCGACGACATCTTGATGTAGTCGCCGATGGGGAGCTTTGCGGTGCGGATGTTTTGCGCGGTGGCTTTGTTGTAGCAGAGGCTCTATAACACCCACACCGTTAGTCCATCAACCCATCACACCAGGGGGGAGGGGGGCAGGGGGCAGGGGGGGCTACTTTATATCGATTCCGATCCACAATGCCGCCAATGATATAGCTCGTCCCGGGCACCAGGTCCTCCACCGTGTCCTCCGAGTCGGCCGTCAGATACACCAGCTTCCCCCGGTTCTCGTCGGTCACCTCGTACTCGCTGTCGCTGAACGTGATGCCCTTCCAGTGCAGATGGTGGTTGCTGAGCCCGTTCTGGAACCGCGAGAGCAGGCGCCCGTTGAGCGAGGTCACGGCGAGCTTGAACTGGCGGGGCGCGGCGCGGTTGAAGGCGTAGCAGCGGGTGAGCTGAGAGGACATGGACACGATCTCCTGTGTGGCCTGTTAGCACGATGCGGCGGGTAGGGGGAAGGGGAGGGGAAAAGGGGAGAGTACCTTATCGTGCATCTTGTCGTCAAACCCGCAGTCCAGGATCAGCGTTATATCCTCCACCACCCTCTTCACCTCCGGCGTCGCGGTCGGCGGTGCCACCCCCGCCCCCGCCGCCGGCTGCTTCTGCTTCAGCTTCTTCCCCGCCGGCTGCCCATCTTCCCCCTCCTGCTCCTCCTCGTCGTCCTGTGTCCCATCGTCCTCCTCGCCGTCGTCCTTCTTGCGCTTGTTGGCGCTGGTGCCGGTGGTGCCGGTGGTGGAGGCGGCGGCCTCCCGCTCCTCGCGGTCCCGCTGCTTGCGCTCCTTCAGCTTCCGCTTCTTGTCGGCCTTCCACTGCTCGCGTGTCTCGGCGAGGCGCTGCAGCTTCAGCAGCTTCTTGTGCGCGGACTTTGAGATTGGCTTGCCGTCGGGGCCGAGGGGGCGCTCGGTCGGTGTCGGGTTGGCCCTGGGGTGTGTGGTGGGCTCTGCAGTGGTGGTGGTGGTGGTGGTGGTGGTGGTGGTGGTGGTGGTTGGGGGGGGCTCTGCAATTGGGGCGTCAGAAGTCTCCGGGGAAGCAGGCACAGGGGCGGGGTCAGCGGGGTCAGCGGGGTCGGCGGGGTCAATGTCCATTTGCGCGGGATCGAGCGGTTCCGTGCTGGCCTCCATGCTGCGAGTCGGGGGAGGAATTGTTGCAATTGTGAATCACCGCAGCCCAGCCCAGGCAGCCAAACCTCGAATCCGGGTAACACGCGCTGCAGCCCACACGGCCAGCGCTAGCCAGCCAGGACGGAAACGAACCAAGCAACTGAGCTACACACAACGTCAACCCCCGCCAACAAGCAGCCCGCATCCACACACACACACTCCACTCCACTCCACACACACAGCCCACTATCAATCCACACTCACCACCAGCACTATGGTACAAGGTACACCCCCCCCCCCTCTCCGTATAGTAGCACAGCGGGTTAAGGACTAACAAATCCCACCCCGCAGACCTCCCCCCAACCGGCGGCTACGGGCCCATCCAATACAAGCGCAACGTCCCCGCGCGCGGCTTCAAGCCGTCCTACTACCTGTTCGCCATGGGCGCCATCTGCGCCTACGGCTTCTACGAGGTGACCCGGGGGAACCGTGAACAAGTGTACGCTTAATTCTCTCCCCGGCAGAAGAACCAATGGATGACGAGATGGATACTGATGGGGGGTGAGCGGGAGGGCAGTGAGTACTCCCGGGAAAAGGCCTGGGCACGAATCCACCTGATCCCGCTGCTGGAGGCCGAGTCGGACCGCGACCACGTGCGCCGCATGATGGCGGCCGAGGCCCGCGAGAGGGAGCTGATGAAGGATGTCAAGGGGTGGAAGTACGGGAGTGTGTATAACTCTGGCCGGTTTGTCCCCCCCCTTCTCTTCTCTTTTTCTGTGGATTGATTGGTTTTGGTTTTGGCGGGAGAGGGGTGATGGGCTAATTGGATTGGCGGCGTGGAACAGGTTTGTGAGGCCGACGTACTCGCCGATGGAGACCACTGGCGTGCATCAGCCTACTAGGTAAACGGTGCCCGTAGTGTTTCTTTTTATACATAGCACGTATGCCCTACATGTAAGGAGCTCTTCTTCCCCGAATTCGACCCATCGCAGTATCTATAGCCGGAAAAGAGAAATGCACAAATCGGAAAAAACAGGAATATATATCATTACCACAGCTAGAGAAACCAATTGACTTAAGAAGAAAAGTTCGTGAATTCTTGTTTCTTGACATGAATCATCACTCGCTATATAGTTGAGTTTAAAAAAGAGAAAAAAAGACACATACAACCAAGCATGCAAAAAATAACCCCAAAGCCGGGGAAAGAAAAAAAGAGCCAGCACACACACACACACACAAACAACAGAGTCTAGCTACATGTAGCTATGTAATCTACATTATGGAACAACTCTTGTACCCGCCCCACACCATGCCCAAGTACCCCTCATCCTCATACTCGAGCCCCATCTTCCCCACGCCCACAATCTTGATAGCCTGCTCGCCCTCTGCGTGCCACCACCTCAGCACGCTGCGCTCCTCCTCATACTCCCACTTGCCCCCCGTAACCTCGACCCTCACGTCCCTCTTCGGAAAGTGAAACGGCGGCACAAAGATCTCTGTCGGCGCCTCCTCCTCCGTCGCCCTGCTCGCCGAGATCTTCATCTCGAACGAAGCCTTCGCCAGGTTGAACCCCGCCTCGATCACCGTCCCACACGTGTACACCGGCGACGGCCTCACGAACGCCTCTGCCGCTCTAGACCCAGCCACGATTGCGTCAGGCGCAACCTTCTGCATGTCCTCTGGGTCTGTGCTCATAGTGCTTGTCGACATGACCTTCTTGATGTTATCGCCATCGATCGTTGTAGCGCCATCGACAGCAGCGCCCGCAGAGGACGTCGGCGGCCGGTCGTCGAGGCTGAAGATGCTAAGGTCCTCACCGTTCCAGTTGTCGCCCCACTGGTGATTGTTACCGACGCAGTACGTCCACAGCGTGAAGCCCACCTGCGCTCCCTCGAGTGCAAAGTGGTTGGCGTCCATGGCGCGGATCTGGGAGAGGTAGTCGCCAGTGTTGTAGGCGGCTTTGTCGTCCATGTCGTAGGGGATGCCAATCTCCGTGAAGACACATGGCGTCAGACCGATGTTGTCGAGGCCTTCTTGCTTCATGGATTTGAGCTGGTCACGGAGACAGTTTCTATAAGAGTTAGTTAAGGAGTTTGATGGCGATATTTGGTAATGGGGTTATATATACCGGATAGCGGTCTCGCCGATTTTGACGGCAAAGGTTGGGGACCAGTAACGACCGCGGAGAACGCCTAGGACGTCAACGTTCCAGAGGCGGTTCCACTTCTTTGTCATGAGTGTGATTCCGTCGTAAAAGTGCGGTGCATACACCATCCGTTCATGTGCATCTTCGGTGCCCTTAATATGCGGTGGGATCTCAAATACTGGCGGCTGGCAGAACAGGATTGCCGTCTTATGTACGCTCCTGATGGCCTTCTGGTATTTTCTATAGAAGTCCAAAAAGTACGTCTCTGTGAACCTCTCCGCATCGATCAGCTCGCCGTTCGGCATCTTGCTGAAGTAGTCGTTCTTAAGGATTGTGTCCGTCGCCGGATCCCACACGCCATGCTGAGCCCATACACACTGGCCGAGCTTCCAGTCCGGGTCCCGCTTCCACTCATATCTCGAGTCGTCGTAGCCCGCTGGTAGCCACGCTTGCACTCCCTTGGGGTCAATGAGCGCTGACCCAGTCTTATACGGCCCTGTGCCACCAAAGTCCCACGTATCAATCTCGCACGCCCTTCCCGACCCCGTAAGGATCGCCTGCCACGCCGTCGGCGACGTCCCCTTCTGCAACTTCTGCTGCGTCGGGATCGCATCCAGCTTCTGGTATCCTATCAATCCGCGGTTCGGCTCATTCAGTGACTCATACCCAATGACCGTACAGTCCTCCAGGTCACCCGCATCATGTATACGCTGCGCCAGGTGCTTCACCGCCGCAATAAAATGGTCCTGCAGAAAGTCCTGGATGTTGACGCCATTAATCATACACTTCGGGGCAAAGTCCCGCCCCGCGAACCAAAGCGTAAACATCGTCAGACACGCCAGCCGCTGGTAGTTGGTCGACCATATCATCTTGGGGAACGTTGACGGATCCGGGTATGTATTATGCACCAGGGCCGCCTCTGTGACCTCGAACGCGCGCGGATCCAGCCCCATGGCGTAGATGGTCCACATTGGTGCGCCTGACCCACCCGACCACCTCGACCACACGTCCTGGTGTGGGTCCATAAAAACCATAAAGTCGTACTCTTTCGCCTTACGCAGGACAGCGATAGTGTGTGTAATCCATTCCTCGTCATAGATTCCAGGGCCGCGGGACTCGATGGCCTCCCAGGTGAAGATGTAGCGGATTGTGTTGTAGCCGCAGTTGCGGAGGCGCTGGAAGTGCACGTCGGCCTGTGAGACGGGGAACGGGCGGTCAATGAAGGAGACGTGGTCACCGTCAAAGAACTTATCCGAGATATGGGAGGGGAGGTTAGGGGTTGTGGGGTGTTTGGCGTCTGAGGCGACGTTGATGCCGCGGAGTGTTACTTGGCGGTTCTGGGGGTCTTTGAAGTAGGGCCCGTCGATGGTTAGGAAGGTGGGCATTTTGGTGGGTGTGGTAGTGATGTTTCTTCTTCTTGTTCTTGTAGGGGAGTGGAGGAGGTGGTTCGTGGGCTGAAGTGGTGAATTGTGAGCTTTTGAGAGTGAGACCAGGAGCTCTGATATAGGTACTTACCTTGAGCTTCACAGCAACCTTGCAGCGGAAGCAACTAGACAAAAACAGAGGGCCAAGCGAGCGTGCACGCAAAGCCTTGTACTTGGACAGCAGTGTGATAAAGCTATTCCGAGAATCTCAAATACCGTTGTGTCGTAGAGATCCGTTGGAGAGAAAGCAAAAAGCAGGAGGCTGCTTGTTGTTTTTGTATCGGTAGTTAGATCCTACTTGTTACCAAGCTATCGCATTCCCCCAACCGGTTATTGCGGGCCTTGGCAGCATGCATGATCTGTAGCTGGGTTATGACGAGTGTGGCTAAGGGAAAATCCAATTTAAGTTCAACAATCAGAAAATCGTTCTCTCGTCTTCGTTTTCGTTTTAGTGTTTGCATGAAAATCCTTACAAGAGGCGAACCAATGAATAGTTGCAGATACAAATAGTTGAAAGAAGGGATCGCTGGAGTGTTTGTTTTTGTAACCATAAGCAAATAACCCTAACCCTGTGGTGTTGCTGTGGCTTGTGCAATCATTTGACAGAACCTCAATAAGCTTAATACGAGCCGAACACGAGGCTGGCTTTTGTCTGATGAACGCCTTGTGTTCCGCCGATATTTGTACCCAGCCTACAGGAGGTGGGAGATCTGTTGCCAAACCCACGCCAACGGTAGCGTTTCGAGTGGCTTGTGTGTGCTTCTACTACATGTATGTACTTGAAGAATTTCCATCCAACGTTGGATATACTGCCCTATCTATGGCTCTACAGACACATAAGAAGCACATTACGCGTCCTTCCAATCTCCGGAGGCCATAAAACTCTTAAACTCTTTCTCACCTTGATCGACAGACCAAGGATTCGAGGACTGCAGGAAGTGATATATATCTCTTTAGATCTCCATGCAAATGTCGGGACATCCATTTGTTCTGTATGCAGCCGTTTATCCCAGTAAAGTCCTTACGAGATGGGGAGAGTTAAGCAGAAACCACAGAGGGGATGTTGATACATAGGATCAAAAGAGGGGATGTTGAGCAGCAAAAGACTTACATGATGAGTATCAATCTTCCCTCAAGAGCGTCGCTATCATAGTGGGTATTCTTATCACTATTTCCACCCCCCCGGTTGTGTCATATGGTGTGGCAGAGGGAATTGCCCACTCCATGATATTGACCATAAGGTGTTTGGTATATATTGTGGATACAATGTATGTAACCAACCAATTGTATGTTGTAGCTAACGAGGGGCAGAGTTGAACTCTGCCCCTCCATCGAAGCAAATCACTCCTGTAATGAGCGGCCGCGTCATGAGGGTCGAACGTTATCTGTGTGTAACTAGAGCTCTAGGCTCGATCCCACCCCTTGCTGACTCCTCTAAGCTGCTCGTAGGGGAAGGGCACGGATATAGTAACGCCACTATAGAAGCGTCTCCCCCCACTGTGTAAGGTGGAAGAAGCTCTGTGCGGGTAGGATGTCAACCCTGCGGCACACCTTTCACTTGTGGCCTATCAAACAGCGTGGAAGGTGCCTTGATCCGTCTTAGTGGCCTTGTTGCTGCCCATACTCCTGTGGCGAACTGTGTGTGCAGGGTTGACATCCTACCCGTACAGAGCTTCTTCCACCATATAAGTTTTGCTCTTGTCTCTATCGCCTAAGACATCAAAAACGCTGTCATTTGTTAAATGCCGACTAGTAACTCTGAAACGTTAACGGCCGCAGCTATAATCCCAAGCCGAATCCACAAAAAAATTGAGGATTATGGTTGATACAGAGAAGGAATAACGTCTATTCATTGCCACTACGATGTGCGTAGAGGGAACATGAGATAAAAAAAACCCTCTTGTGAGAGTCACAAAATATCACTCGGTCCGGAACCGCGGCAGCTATCGAGCGTGGCGCTGGGGACGAGAGTAAAGAGAAGTGCTTTGATTGACTATGGTACCGTTCAACACTCTATATAGATCTAGACATATAATATCGTCCGGAAACAGCTAACCTGGATATCCTGGGATACAGTCCGTGAGTGTACGTACATAGCACAGGGGTGTGAGGAAGGAAGTCTTACGACATCTTAGGGCACTGCGGTAGCGGGGTTTGGTTTAGACACATACGTTGCCGGATTTTCCTACACTCGCACAGTCAATAGCACCTGCTCGAAGGCCACAAGTATAGCCCTCAAAGGACAAGGGGATCAAACACGCCATTTAGTTCCTATTTCCCACTTTATGTGTCTATATGTAGTCGACTGAACTCCTGGATCTGCAGTCGAGAAATCGAGTATCTATCAGCCCTCGATCGTAAAGGATTTCTATCGCGTCATTCTAACATCTTTTTCTCAATACTTATACAAGGCAAGTCGGGGTACCAGATAAACGAGAGAAACAATAAATAACTGATAAAAATAGTCCTGAGACCTCGAGTACGCCAGGTATGGATCATGAAAGCCACCAAGCCGCCGAATGGTAATCGGAGACTTTCAGAACCGCTCTCAACCTCCTAATCAAGCATCATCGGCATCCGATACCAGGTATTTCTCACTTATAGGAAGGTCTCAGGGTTTTGATAGGACTGTTTTGAAGCACCATGTTCCACAAATTCCTATCTCGAATGTTTAGTTCGACATGACAAGACAGGTCTCGTCTCGCCCAAGCCCAGTTACCACCAATTGAGTGGTATTTTCACCCTGGACTTCGCAGAATATATGCTAATAGAGACTCTACAGGTGTTATGATAGGCTGTCTTGGGACCTGCATCAATCTGAAAACCTCTCATCAGCAACACAGCTAACCTTTTCAAAGCATCGTCGCTCACAGTATTTGGAGATGCCATCCATCGACCTTCTCCTTTCACCAACAAACCTTCCTCTGCATCCGCTTTGCTTTTGTATCCCACATCTTATGCACCGACCCGTGCTTGCATGATCGCGTATGCGTATGGCACGTGCAGGCCCCAGTGGAGTAGCACATGCTATCCCGTACCTTGTTTTATGTTGTGCATCGTCTTGATTGAGCTCTCTTCCCCTTTCGATCAATTGGTTATCTCAGGATATAGATATGTGGATCGACCTGTTTTTCGTTCGATTTAGTCAGGAATAAACAGAGAGGTAAATAGAAGATTAATTCCTTCTTAGCATCACGAACAAACCCAAAACTGACATGACGATGATCTGTGGATGAAGATTTTATGGCGGTTAAGATGAGAGATGAGATGCCTGCCATCGATTCCCAGTCCGGAAAGGTCAAGGGACGGTAACGGACCAGCCCTAAACTCGGTCACAAGGGATTTTATCTGCAGATAACTAGATCAGTAAACATGACTCGTCGGACGCAGCATGCAGTCCTACTCGACATGAGTGGTTGCCTGGTCGGGATAAGAACACCAATGCCTGCCGGTTGCGAGATGTAAGCAAAAAAGCAAACTGGGGACATGTCAAAGGTTTGAATGTGAGGAGGGAAGGGAAGAGAAGGAAGGGATGGATATATTTTTACTCATCACTTGAAAAATTCAACCTATTGGTTAAGATACTTAGATCAGGAGTCACTCAGGTTGGAAATCCCCCTCATTGTTTCCTGTCAGAATTGATACTTGTAGTTGGCTAAGGCGAGAAGTAGCACAATTCTGATACAAGCCCTGAGCTATCCAGCCTACATGAAAGCTGAACCTGAAACATAGATATCGCATAAGGGCTCTTCCCAGCTGCCGAATTGCGACTCTGTCTACTGAGCAGTCATTGGTAACTCGTCACCAATATCAACATCAACCAATTCCTCACTGGGTCGCCACAAGTGAACCACAACCACAACCACACTATGGATAAAACCATTAATGTGCGATCGAAAGTTATCAGAACAATCTTCGCCAACAAACAATCGAACAGCCAGTGCCGTACTAATTAAAGCATCTCACAACCAAAGGTATATAGATGAATCATCTACAATCTGCAGCTGTAAGAGCCCCTCTCTTTCCCTCCCCTCCATAAACCCCTCACTTTCATCATCTCTGTTGTCTTTCAGTCATATCAGAAGAACCCATAAATAACTCCCCCTAATCCTAGTAACAGCCTTCCCCCTCCCTACAACGATACTTGTCAAAACTCACATTTTCATAAGCAGATCACATGTAGGTACCCTATCCGCTTTCTCCTACGCTTTTTAAGGTACAGGAAAAATTCGTGAAGATTATGTTGGAGCCCGTATACCCGCTGCATCATCCATAACAAAAGAAAATTCAACTGCACCAGAAGTACACGTGTTTTGACATCAAAAGGACCAAGCTACTACTCGCCAAGGAATTACTAGGTATATGTCTTACACATAACCACCAGCTTTACCTGAGACCGTCTTGATAACCTTATTGCCCCAGATTCTGGACGTGAGGGGGTTCGAAAACACAGCACTTTACCAACCGCAGGGGATGTTGTGGGTATTTGAACAAACGGATTCGTGTACCAATCATACTTCTCACTGATTTTTTTTTAAAAAATCCTCGCCTTTATTACACAAAAATATAATGGGTGATGATGCAATGCCATTGTCATCACATCCCATCACTCGGCTTCTGCAGCACTCGCACCTAGTGCGTGATGGTGACTTTACTCGAGTAGATACTTGTGCGATCACGGTGGTAATTGGGTTGTTTCTTTTTTTCATGCACCTTTTGTGTGCCTGACGCACGTTATGTGACTGCCTATCAGCGCCGAAGTACCTGTACTTAGGGTCTCCACATTCAATCACGCGTTCATAACGTGTACCTACCTACGTATGCAATGGTTTTACTTCTAACCAAAAGTAAACTGCCAAATGGGAATTCGGCATTGCAAATCCCTCCTGGTTATGGAGTTTATAATTTCTGTTCGCTTGCTGAATATTAGGTAGTTTACTAATTACATGCAGTTGTCACGC